TAGAGAGACAACATCAACAGCAACACTGGCACCAGAATAATGCACCTCCAGTTAACAAGCAGCTGCGGTTGAAAGAGTAACAATGCAGATCATTTTTCCTGCAGGTCATAGTTCACGCTCCTCTGTATTGAGTCTATTTGGATCCACTCCGGTAGTAGACATATTGACGCACTGACCTGAGACCCGAACGGATACAAGGGGACCATATTTAGACTGGATCAGACTGAATATAATATGGACCCGTCCCAACTCGGGTCATGTGTCAGGTCCGGGGTTGGAGCTTGGTTACTTGAAACCACGGGGACTCATGAAGACCTCTGCTTTCTGTGTTTGGTTAAAGTATTGCTTATAATGATCTATTAAATATAGCATTACCAAATGTTGCACAAATAAAACAAATTAATGATAAAAGTTTTGATCTTCTCATTTTATGATGATTTTTAATTGATTTCCTTAAGTGATTTAAATACGGGGGGAGCACGTGATAAAGAATCGCTATTGTTAGTGAATATAATGTTGCTTGTTGAGCTGTTGAGATTTTTTAGCAAACTGTGACCTTTTCACCTCTGTCCCAGTTTCATTACGTTCTCTCAGCATCTCTCTCTTTATGACCTTCACATGTGCTGAGAATATCAAGCGTTGCGATGGAGACAAGTGGCTGCCATGTTAGCCCCGCTAAGACACGCTGACACACTGCATCAGTATTAAAGCACCACCTCTCCACTAGAGACCCTTTATTTTTACTCCGATATTTGCTCTCTGTTCCTCTGTTGATGCATTTGTCAGTCCCGATTCCCTCGCCTGGTTTTCTCTCGAGAAGATTGACAATACAAACACTGTTTTTTTTTTTTTCCCTCTCTGTGTCTCTTTGTTGTTGTGTTTGCTGTTTGTTTATCCCTGTGCACATGGCTCTTCCAGACTGCCATCTTTATGTAATGTCTAGTTCGGGGATGATAGTTTGGTCAGGAATAGCAGCGTCCTCGCTGTGACCCAGCGGGCCTGGTGTCACAAAAAATCAAACTGCGTGTGTTTGGGTGTGTCAGAAAGGATCAGAGTTTGCCTTTTGGTGAAGTGCTGGTCATTGCAGGCCATCTGGAAACTGTGTCTTACAGGTTCAATAGGCAGACAATGTGTGTGTGTTCATGTCATATCAGAGCATCAGCAGGTCTGCTTTTGTTCAGTTTATGCAATAGGATATTCATGCACCAGTGGTGTCCACTTAGACTTGCTATGTTTGTGTGTGTGTGTGTGTGTGTGTGTGTGTGTGTGTGTGTGTGTGTGGCATGTGTGTGCATTGGTCCGTTTATAGGATTTTCCCCCTGCTATGCCTGTTCTTGTGCTCTGTGTCAGCTGTGTGGTTGAACAGCCCCGAATGACATCTTTCCCTCCCGATTTGTACTCGCTGTTCTCTTTTTCTCGACAGGACACATTTTGCAAATCCTAGCAAATGGAACAAAACAACAACAAATCAATTCCCTCAAGTGCAAGCACCTTTTCCTGTCTCCTCAGTGTATCATTTGGCGGTTAGCCAGCCCAGACAGTTGACAGACAGATAGTCAGAGGCAGACGGTTGACAGGCAGTTAGAGACAGATAGACAGATAGACAGACAGACAGACAGACAGACAGCAGCTGGCTTGTGGATCGACAGGCGGGAAGCTTTCATTTCACAGCAGAATAAAAAAACAAAAAACGGTGACTTGAAGCTGAATAATTTAGTTTACTGCAGCTGGGAAAGTCACTTGGATAATTCATGCATTGGGCACACTTTGTGAGTGTAAGTGTGTTTGCTGTGATTGCCTCTGTGCGTGTGAGTGATTGGGCTAAGAATGAATTACAAAAAGTAGGCAAGTTTTGGGTCTGTGTGCACGCGTGTGTGCAAGCGGGCGGTCTTTCAATGGATTACAAAGTCAGATGTGCACTTGTGACAAATCCCTTGTAAAGATAGTGTTTCTGCAGCTCGAGGGATAACAAGGAGTTGGCAAAGCTTTAGCATTAAATGCAGAAGGACGCAGACTAACACACACACACACACACACACACACACACACACACACACACACACACACACACACACACACAGTCTAGCTGCTGTTTGATTTCATCAGCAGACTTGATCTCAATGTCAACATGAGAGAGTGGGTGGATGTAATTCAACTGAATCCTCTCTTGGGTTGTGGGCTACTCTGCCAGAAAAAAACCTTAAAAACTCAAACACCTCTGGCAGTCAACCTCTGGTTTGCTGCTGATATTTGTCTTTGAGTACAGCTTATACAGTCTAATAGTAAGTTACGAAATAGTAAAGTTCATCGTTTTTCATTAAAGGTTTAAACTGATTTTCACCCAAACTTTAATTCCCAGCACATCCGATAGTAGTTGTGTTTCCAGCTGCAAGATGACACTGATGTAAATGAGCTCCTCTTACAATGGGGAGCATTCAGAAAATGCTTGTGCTGTAGAAAGTATAGGAAACATTGGGAAGAAAACAAAATTTGGTGATTAATTTTTTTTTTTACTGATTTTATTTTTTTTATTTTTTTATTTGTTTGTTATCATTGAGTTTAAAATTATTTTTTCTTCCCAGTTTTTTGATTTTCAACTCATGGTTAGTTGTTAGTTTAATCAACGATTGAGCCTTATTCATTAGGAAGCAAACTCAAATAAATCTGTTAAATAAATGTCATTTATTGGATTTACTGAACAGTAACACAGCATCCATGAAGCATTACCTGTGTGTCCACAGTGTTTGTACTCTGGATCTCTGGGTGCAACTCACAGTGTCTTTAAATTGGGCTGGATTAAATGTAATCCCTCTCCAGCAGCAGGAAATTCTCTCAGTGCTTTTTGGACGGTGCGTTCAGGTACACTGGATGAGCCCTGCAGGCAGAAGAAATGAAATTCTCTCTAAACACTTCAGCTGTAGCGGGATCCCTCTCAGTTCTGCATGGCGGGGACTCTTGTTATACGTCTCCACTCCAAATCACAGTGAAGCTGTCTTTTTTTCCCCTGCTTGTGTGTGTTCATGTGTGAACAAATGTCTGTGTGTGCTTGCATGCGCCGCGGCTTCAATAGGCTACTTGTGTGAATTTGCTGTCTGTTTGGGAGTGTGTGTAGTCATCTGTGCGTGTGGGTGGATCGGTCAGTGTTTACATGTCTGTGTTCGTATGAACATCAGTGTGCAGTAGTTGACATATGTGTGTACATGCAGGTTTAAGTGTGCGGTTAATTTATCTGTGTGTGTGTGTGTGTGTGTGTGTGTGTGTGTGTGTGTGTGTGTGTGTGTGTGTGTGTGTTTGTGCGAGAGAGAGTCAGTGGGATGCAGCTCTCTTTTAAAGAGCTGGTTGAAGAACTGACACTCACTCTCAAAGTAGTGTTCATGCTAATGGCTATCAGGATCTCTCTGTCTCTACCTCTTTATTTATCCTCCTTTCATATTTCTGGCTTTACAAACTAAAATTTTAACACAATATGTTTATTAAACTGCATCCAAACCCATTTGATTAAAGATCCCTCCAGGCAGGTATTATAACAGATATAAAGAGTCTACTTGGAACAATAATGTGTATGTATATATCGGACCAGGACGACTTCCAAACTATTTGTGATGTCACAAAATCATGTTGATAGGACCTGCCCCTTCAGATTTTCAGTGAGCACAGAGACACTTTACACTCTTAGCAGATGAATGTGAAAACAGTGTCAAACTCTGCACATACATTCTGTTTAGTGACGCTCAAACATCCAACTGTGAACAAGAGTAAAAACAGATTTTTGAGTGGATGGGGACACCCGTTCATTATGGTGTTTCAAACTTGGCCACTTTCTACACACCTCCATCTGTTATATGCATAATTTCCCTCTCTGCCTCCTTACTTCTCTTTAAATGGGGTTTAGTGTTGCACTTCCACAAAGTTTGTGGACAAATTACGAAAACAATGGTGTTGCAGCATCCTGTCTTATAGTCCCTAGGGTCGAGCTTAAAAAACCCCTTGGATTGTACGCTTCCAGTAATACAACTCTATTATTTCCCTTTATCAGATCCACCACGCCTGGTAAATGGCCACATCTTTCAAAGTCACATGCACAGTTCATTACACACACACACGCACGCACGCACGCACGCACGCACGCACGCACGCACGCACGCACGCACGCACACACACACACACACACACACATACAGGCTTTCTGTTTCGTCTTCAAGCTCAGTCCAAGGTTGTTTTTTCAGATGTTAAAAAGCTCCCTCCCACTGTTGTCACTGGCTGAGTAGTATTCCTTGTATCTTCATGACAAGTAAGCTGATCTTCATGTGCCCCTTTAAGTCCATCCCTACGTCTGCTCTCCATGTATTTCATCCATCTATTTTAAACCTAAAACATGCAATAACTTTCTGTATTTGCCCCAGGAGGATAACACAATTCCTTTGCCCTTGTGCGTTCACTGTCAAAGCTTTCGTCATATAAACATGGTTTCAGTAAGGGGTTGTTTCAGGACTTGGTAGAGATATATTATTTTACCCCCTATTGTACTTGTCTTCGAGGTCCTCTGCTGGTTAGTCTCTCAGAAGGGAGCGGGTCACTCCAGTTAACAGTCCAGGCTGAATCAAATACAGGCTGCTCCTTCTGTTGCTGCATCATGCGAAATGATTTATGACCCCTGAGTGCTCAGGATTGAATGGGTGGTGTATTATTATTGCAAGTGTCCCCATGTTTAGACCGCTTCCTATATTCTGTATTACGCAGAAAGTATTCATCTAAGTTTGTTTTGTGTATGACTATTTTGAGTTTGTGCCGAAATACAGAGATATTTTAAAAGCTTTGATTTTATTTCACCTACACAGATTATTGATTGCACCTCCTCTCTCTTTTCCAGAAGCGTTTTTGGTTTGCATCGCTCTGCTTATGTCTTAGGACCTTTTTTTTTCAAACTCTGCATAACTAAGCTCAAACATAAAAAAAAAAAAAAAACTCATGTGGGTGTTTTGTGTCTCTTTTTGTTGTAGTGCTGGCCAGTTTCCGAGGGACTGTCCAGCATGGCCTCCCCCTGGAAATTGGAGACACGGTGCAGATCCTGGAGAAATGTGAAGGTACGGTGCACACGGTACACACTCAGTACTATTTGGTTTCATACACACCTAGTATGAAACATATAAGGAAAAGAGTTGGTTTCGCTTGAGTGGTGAAGCGAATGCACGCACTTACACGTACAAAATATGAGGAACACTTCCTCATTTCATTCAATGTACAGATCAAGTGAATTCACGTGAAAGCTCTTATACTTGTGAATTTACCTTATTAAATCTATCAGTAATTGGCAGAGGCATGCACGCACTGTGCCGTATGAGCACGCTTGCATTGATCCACAGATTTATGCATGCAACCACAAACAAGCCCAAAGAAACGTGGACGCTTAGATGTGTGTTTGTCGATCCAGTAGAGAAGCTTCATCTGGTGGATATCACGCTTCTCAAATGTCTTCTTGAAGGATATCACAGAGCAGTGTGTGCACCAAATGAGCAACATCATGCCTGTGATGAATGGCGGTGGAAATTCATGTTTGCTACTGTTTCCTGCACCACAGACTGGCTGCTTTTCCCGCCTTCCTGCCCACACTGTGTCTGTTTTTCTCCTCTTCTTGCTTTTTCTTACACTCTTTTGCTGTTTTTCTCTCCCTATCTATGTTAATATGTTTTTGTACCCTGCATTCTCTTTCCCTCTCTCGCTTTCCTTAGGTATTTTTTAATTTTCAGAATAATGTGAAATTATCTAACCACAACAAAGCCACAATCTAATGCACACAAATGAGCAGCCGTGCACAAACACATACACACCTCTCTCTTCCGGAGTTCTTGACACACACTGTCTCACTTCCTGTCGGGAGACAGAAGCACACGCTCGCACCGAGAGAGACAGCCAGTCAAGCAGCCAGTCGTGCAGCCAGCCAGTCAGAGGGATGTGATATTGCGGTAAAAGGCCCAGAGGAAGTAGACAATAGCACCGCCAGCGGAATGCTGGGTTCAGAAGGGAGGAACGAAATCAAAATCCTGCCAGCAGCAAGGAGGCTGAGAGACGGCTTGCTGACAGCATAGCAGACAGACTAATGGGTCTGCCTCATGTTGATACTGTTGACACTTTAGAACACAAGAGCTTACAGTGTGAAAGTGTCTTTACCGACATGTGGCTCCTGTCTGTAAAGGCACCGCCTCAGTAATTGATTTCTGACTTGGCACGTCAATGGCTCATTCTTGAGATTTTGTTCCTGACAGCAGTGAATACATTAGACTGACTACACAGTATATAGAGAAACTGTGATGTTCATTTCAAACATTCACATATTTTACATAGGTGGATATTAGAATATGGTCTTTGTACAAATGCGTCACAATTTAGGTCATTTTGAGTTTAAGCTACTACAAAATGGGCAGAAACCGGATGTTTCAACTGTTTATCCATCATATATAGCTAAACATTTCAAATGTTTATCCATTACTTTTAGCTAACTATTTCAACTGTTCATAAATTCCTCATGGCTAACTATTTCAACCATTTGTCCATTACTTTAGCTAACTATTTCAACTTCTTTGCTTGCCTGTTAACTAGGTTTTCCTCATTTTCAATCTCCACAAACAGTGTACAGATTGGTGGGAGGTGCGAACTGTGCTGTCAGCAGAGTCTAACCTCGGTATTGTGACAATAATTGTATTAAAACACATAATTTTCCAATTAGCTGAGCTGTTTTAATCTTTATGTACCCCCAAGCAAATGCATTATTGCAGTATTTCAGGTACATACGTACTCCATCCTACTGAACTCTTACAGATGTCTTGCTATCTTTCACTGACATATAACATTGCAGAAATCTGTCACAGTACTTGACCTCTGCTACCGAAAAAAATTACTCATTTGGGAAATACTGAGCATGTGTTCCACTGTGCAGACTGAGACAAATTACTCAGTGCTCTTCTGACTATGCATGCCTGCAACAAATCAGGGACGAAATACTACCTAAGTCACAGATGCTTTGGCGAAACCCAACAGTGATTAGAGTAATCTAATACATTTACATTTGAGCTATTTAGCTAATGCTCTTATCTGGAGGGACTTTACAACGACTGCAATAGTGGAATGAGCTTAAATCGTTAGTTTGGAAAAGAGCATCAGCTCAAAGCCTCCGATGTAAATGTATTAGATTGTTTCTATCAGTGTTGGGATTTGCAAAAGTGTCGAGCACATACTAATTTGGATTGAGCTCAGATTGTAGTGTGTAATTGCGTGAGGAGAGTGTGAGTGTGTGCAAACCACAACTTTGCCATCTCTATCTCTGTCGCTGCTGTTTTTCAACACCTGGTAGGAAACGTCATTATGAGGTTTAGAGAGTTTAGCAGGGACATTATATGTCACAGGTTTCATTCCGCTGTGCATTAGCCTGTGGTCAAAACCAGGTGGTTAAAATAGCTATATGCTTTGTACCACAATATTCTGCAGAGCTGCTATGAGGTATAAGAATATCTAAAAAGGTGTTGACATTTTATTGGCAGTGGAAAGTTATTTAGCTGGTGTGTCAGTGAGATACCTGGTCAAAAAATCTGTTTCTGGGTCATTCGCCTTTTCACATGATACTGAAGGAGATTTAAAAATATATGTCTGGTGGGCTTATTATGACATTCTTTTACATACAGCTGTCAGAAGGATTGGATCATTTTCAATAAATCACACACACATGCATCTCTTTCTCTATCCTTCTCTTATTAAATGTATAGCATTCCATATTTTTCCTCCTCCTCTCCTTGCATGCTTTGCAGTCTAAGCCAGATATAGTGTTATATTCACAGTGACATGCTGGAAATTAAAATGGTGCTTTGTCCCTGCAGGCTGGTACCGAGGGTTTATCCTGAAGAATCCAAATGTCAAGGTGAGTGAACTTTTTTCGGAGTGTGTGTGTGTGTGTGTGTGTGTGTGTGTGTGTGTGCGTGTGTTTAGCTTGTTCTCGGGTTGCTTATTACTCATTTGTACCCTCATTCAACCCTGAGGTTTTTTGTCTTTTTTTATGCTGTCAACTGGCAGAGCAAGAATGTCAAATTTAAAAGTGTCCCCCAGGCTTATCATTGTTAGCAGCAACTAGCAATTTCACCAGCTGAGATGACAACTGTCAGTGACAGATTTCATCAAATGTACTTTTCAGAATATTTCATACTGTCAGCTGGTCAAACTAAACACTTTACTCTTGGTGCTCATCATTTTGGTAACATAAGCTGCACGTGGCTTCATCAAGTATACACACTTATGGTCCATCCACACAAGTGTTTTGCATTATTTTACCAGATTAGAGCTCTTCTCTGGACTGTGTGGATCGGCTCCCACTCTCCATTTTCGTTTTGTTGAACAGTTTTTCACGACAGATATCATGACATGTCATAGCAGTAAAGGGGATAATGGCTGCCATCTATTCAGGTTCATCAGCTCCTGGACACTGTTATTGTGCTTGACGGATAAATAAAATGGAACCATCGTTATGAATTACGCTTGTGTTTTTCCATCTGTGACAATTCAGCATGTCTGTGATAAAAAAAAAAAAAGGTCTATCAGTAGGCCTCTGTGGAGTTAAGTGACATTGCATCATTTCCTACAGAGCTCTGTCAACTCAGTATAATATAATTGGACACCAGACTCACAAAAGCATTTGATAACAGGCTTTTTTTTTGCTGCAGAAATGTTATCACAGCAGGAAAAGCACATGTGTAAATAATACAATTAATAATGGCTGAATTCCATTTAGCTGCTGCAGTTTCAGAGTCCTTATATTGTGCTTACTGTCATGGCTCGCTGGGACACTATATATAAAAGTATAATAATATCTGTTAACAATAGAACAGCCAATGGTAATGATATTAGTAACACTTTTCCTACTGATAACACCTCATGGCCAATACCCTAAACTTACAGTTTGTGTAATTGTTATTAAGGATATTTATTTATTTTGTCTGCTGAATGACAGGTCAGTTTTATTTAAACAGCGCAAAATCAAAAATCAGCCTCAAAGGGCTTGAGAACATATGTCCCTGTCCATCGTCGGATAGAAGTTAAACTCCACAGACACACAACAGATGTTGTGTACGCAGAGTAGATGGAAATAACAACAATTAAATGACAGTGCGGAGAAACAGAATGACATTCCTCAAAGTTGATAATGTAGAAACATAGAGGAAGAATATGGATCAGAGGAAACTTTCAGCAACTTCCAGGTGCTGCTGTACACTGGTAGGAGCTAGACCACAGCACCGCCTAGTTAAAGTTGGATCAAATAAATGATATATATATATGTTTTTAAATAATTGTTTTTTGATGGTCTGGTCTCATATAATGCTATAATAGGATAGCAGAAGTTTATGTGCACATTCTGATTGTTCCAGTCCAACTTATTGTGTTACAAAATGCAGAAGAAAAGTGCAAAAATCGAAGTTTGTGACAGCAATTGAAATCCAACACCATTTGACACCAAGTCTTTGTCTGATTCCAGTTAGAAAATAAAAACCCTATTCTCGTTTACGACCAACTAATTAAAAACAAACTGTATCTTTTTTTTTTATCATTAATTAGGCTCCATGTCCCATGCACAAAATACTGTACAGCTGTTAAAAGTGGCTGAGTGACAATAATAATGTGGCTTTAAAAAAATTTTTTAAAAATCCGATAATATAAACCATGTTGGGAGTAAAGCGGAAGGTGTGTGTTCAGAGTCTCTGAGTGTGTTGCATTTATCCTCAGATACTTAAACATAAGTTCTGCTTTGATCTCCCGGAGTCAATAGGGAGCAACTTGCAGTTTATTAGCGTCAAACAGACACACACACACACACACACACACACACACACACACACACACACACACACTTACACTTTTCATCTTTTTTTTGTCTCCTAAATCCCATTGCTCATTGCTTTTATCTCTTTGTCTGTTTGTCTCTTCTCTCCGCTCTCCTTCTTTTCAACCCACAAACACACATAGCACTGTATTGATTAAGTGCATCTGTTGCCACATGCTAACAGTTAAATGCTAATGGCACTGGAAGTGAATGACTTGCTGAGTATCAGAAGGGCCAACTCATTAATCTGTTTATCTTCTGCCTGAAGGGGATCTTCCCATCCAGCTACATCCACTTGAAGAATGCCCACGTCAAGAATAAAGGGTAAGTAAGGCTGTGTTCTTGCAATTTTCCTGTGTGTGTGTGTGTGTGTGTTTATGTGTGTGTGTGTTTATGTGTGTGTGTGTTTATGTGTGTGTGTGTGTGTGTGTGTGTGTGTGTGTGTGTGTGTGTGTGTGTGTGTGTGTGTGTGTGCATGCCGTAGTAGACGTTTGAACTCTATTTTACATTTGTATGTATGTTTGTAGGCAATTTGAGACGGTCATCCCTGTCGAAGACTCCGTCATCACAGAGATGACGTCGACGCTGCGAGACTGGGGTGCCATGTGGAAACAACTCTATGTGGTATGAATCCTCACACCCACACACAAACACACACACACACACACACAGTTTGCATCGATTTAAATATCACTACCGCCTTAGCAAAGCTGCCTTTTTTTTTTTTTAAAGGTTTCTCATGAAGGGAATCAGTTTGGGCCTGGGTAATTTAAAAGCCACAAACAGTCAAAGCCTTTTCATACACATTCATTAGTTGGATTGATTGTGTTTGTGGCCTATTAAGCTATCTGGGGTGCTGATTAAATTGAGCTGATGAATACTCGCAGATCAAAGTGCATAAATTTGCGGCAAAGAGCAGCAGGACACTGAGGCTAATTTGCACAAATCCATTTTAAGTCCCTCTCTCTGGTTCACCCTCTTCCCTCGATGTCGATTTTGCTCTCTAATGTCTTTTCTGTTACTTCTTTCTCACTTTTGGGTGGCTCGATGCAACTGTATATTTTCATCCTCTTATCTGTGCCTCCCCCTCTATCTGTCACCCTCATTCTGTCTTTCCTCGTTGTCAATTTCCCTTTCATTCGTCGCCTTTGACTGGCTCTCCTTGGTTCTCGACTCACTTTTTCCCCTTCTCTGTCCCTCCCCATCGTTTCCTGCTTCCACAGAAGAATGAGGGGGATTTGTTCCACCGACTTTGGCATGTGATGAATGAAATCTTGGACCTGAGGAGGCAGGTGCTGGTGGGTCACCTCACCCATGACCGCATGAGGGACGTCAAGCAGCACATCACAGCGAGATTGGACTGGGGCAACGAGTGAGTAGAACAAGGGCAGAGTGGAGGAGAGCCTCTCTTTTCAAATGTCTAAATATTACTTCAGGGGCTTTTTTTTTTTTATTGTTCTATCTCAAAGGACCATATCTATGTTTTTATGTTTGTTTCTCTTATGTTTTAGGTCATTAATCATTCATCAGTTAAACTTTGCTACTAGTTTCAAGATTGATTTTCTGCCCTTTGCTTAGCCATGGGATTCTTTTCACTCTGCAGCATTGTATTAAAATCTAATATCAGTGACTAGAGGCTTGCTTGAGAGCAGCAATCCATCACAAACATTCAGTCGGCTTTATGTTTTGTAAAAGTTATGCTTTTATTGCACGGTAATGCAGTTGTGAACCAGAACCATTTAAAGTTTAGCTTTTTAGTGCATTCAATAAAAGACAAATCATGGATTTGAAAGTTGGTTGCTGAACTATACTTTTAAATGCAAGGCACTACCAAATTCATATCATCCTTTTTACATCATTTATAGTGGCTTTTTGTTTGTCTTCTATCAGCTCATATCAACAGCAGGAACTTTTAAGGAACCATTTCAGAAACTCGAGAAACTTAACCTGTGTTCACACTGGAGAAACCAGGAACTTAAACTTTAGTTTTAATGCCATAGTTCCAAAACCGAAAAAGACCCTATCTGGGGTTGGCACCTTCTGATGACCCAGGAGCTACTGAGGCAGAGTTCACAGTACTGAGTGTGGCTGCTAAAATATCAATTGTCCTGGCAGGGGTAAATAAAGCTGTACTAAGTACAGTTTCATTTCACAGACACAATAAGCAACCGCTTGTTTCCACTAGCATCATGGGGACGAGGGGTGGAGAAACAAAAATCAATTTGCCATTTGTTGCATTGCAGTTACGTACATACTAAAGCAGACATACAGTAGGTAATTATAAAACACTCAACAGTGTTGATATACTTAAGATTTCAGTCTCTCTCAACTTGAGTCAACAGCATATTATAAAGAACAACCTGACTCTGTCTGGTTACTTTATTCTGTTTGAAAATTGCGTGTCAAACAGCCAATCTAATTCACCTAATTTTCACCTTCCTTTTTTCAACAAAAAACATTACGTAAAAGGAAACTTTTAGTTCCTGGATATTGTTCCTTTTCTCTCTGGGTACTAGATTGGAATATATGCGTACCAATTTAATATCACTGTTCTCTTTTCCCAAAATTTGAAATCACTTCTCTCACTGTGAAACCCACTGTGACTGAATGAATGTAGCTAATGGCAGAAACACTGAAAGTTATTATTGACACTGACACTGAAAAATCTGTATCTAATGTTGGGCTGTACCCGATTCAGTTGAATTGGAGTTGGCTGTTCAATACAAAAGACGACTGTTTGTTCCTCCTTTTTTTCAGTTTTTAAGTTTAGAGCCACAATAAAGTCCCACATCAGCAGTTCCGGCTGTGGAAACATGACTACGTGAGTCATGTTTTAGCCTACCTCACGTGCCACCGTCTGGTTCAAAAGTGGTTTAGCCGAGTGGGGTAATTTGTGGTGATGCTGATTTTTTAAAAAGTTTACAGCCTGCCATGCTGTTGCTCTGTGTAAAATGACACAGCTAAAAAGCAAAAGTGCAGAGATTCAGCTGACAAAATGCGAGTCGAGTCTCCTCGACCGACGACTCGAGTTTTCAGGGACAACCTTAATTTAATTTGGTCTGCTCAAGTGATGGCTGATATCTGATCCTCTTGATAGGTTCAGTATTACATCGATACGGATCCGGTGTATTGGTTCTGTGCGTCGCTAGCTCCTGGGGCTCCTTAGGATTGTGTGGTCAAAAAAAGGCTACATGTGTTTCCAACATAATTCTTGTATTCAATGTTTTTTAACAACTGACTCAGATGACTGGATTTCTTTGAATGTACCAGCGATAAAACATTCCTGGTCTGCAGAGAAATAATAATGAATAAATGAAATAAATCAAATGTATTGTTACTGTGAGTGTTAAAACTCTAAAAATATAAAGCATATTTGTATTTAAAGAGATACTAAAATTGTTGGTTAGTCGAACAACTAAGCAGGCAAAACTTAATTGGTCTTACATTTTGTCCCATATTTTAGGAAAAATAGAAAATAGAAATAATGACGAATATGTGATTCAGTTACTTGTTTATTCCATCTTGTGGCTTCATAGAGCTTTTGGCAACTCTCTAACTCGTCTTCTCTTCTTGCTCTTCTTCGTCTTTTGTTGTCACCTACCATCCCTGTGGGTGCACTCCTCCACACTCAATCAAGTCTTTTTCCCCCCGTGCACACAGACAGCACTCTCTCCATTCTCCCACTCTTGTTCTCCTCTCTTTCCTCACCATGCCATGGGGGTGAAATCAAGCAAATCTCCCAGCTTCTGTTATTCTCTCTTTATATCTTTCCTTACCCTTCACTCTCCTTCATTTCCCTGCTGTGGGCCCTCCTCAAACACACACATACACACCCCTCCTTAGTGAGGAGATGGGTGGACAGTCCCTTGCGGTGGGCTGCTGTATGGTTGACCAGGCCTGTCTCTTTTATTGCTGTCAAGGAGGCACAGTCTAGTGTGCTGTTTTGGTCCACTGAAAGGGACCGGCCTAGAGGAGGATACGGAGAGGAAAAAGGAGAAGGGAGAGAGTGATAGGTAGAGTAGAACTGTCCGACGTTTAGGAACAGAGAGGGTTAAGGGATGGAGAGAGGAAGAGATAGAGGAGAGCAGTTGAAAGGATAAACAGGGCCGCGAGCGAAGCAGGGGGCTAAAGGGAAAGGACATTTTCCTTTCATCTGTTCTATAGAGGAGAGGACGATCTGTCAAGTTTATTTAGACGGCTAGCACAGGTGTCACTTGTGGGTCTATATGGCGTGTGTTTGATGCTCAATTCAGTCAATCGTGTCTCTTTTGCCCACCACAGAGTAGGACATAAAAATAACTGAGAATATGTATGATATGCTTGATCTGTATGTAATTCACTACATGTATACTGTTTAAATCTTTGTGTTACAGACAGCTTGGCTTGGACCTGGTCCCCAGGCGAGAGTTCAGCATGGTGGACCCAGACGAAATCAGCGTCACAGAGCTTTACAGACTGGTGAGTGCTCTTTTTAACTCTCCACGCAGTATTTCATTACTTTGTTCTCAAACTGACGCCTCATTTGGAGAGCAGGGTGGTGAAAAGAAGGTGAGTTCAGCAAGTATCTGCTCTCCTGAGATGTCCATGTATAGCAGGATGAGGGTTTGTAGGAAACGGATGGATGGACAGAATACTGTATATACTTTATGCAGTGTGTAACCATAGTTAAAATTGACAGTCACAGACTTTCAGATGCCACTTGCTTCAAGCTGATCAACCGATCACAAAGGACAGTTGAACAATGTTTTACCAGTTTGTTCATTCAGTGCAGTGTCTGATCAGCCAACCTCTAAGGTGATGTGAGAAATCGTCCATTATTGACAGCACTCTTTGAAAATTCCTCCTCAAAGCTGACAGGTGGCAGAGGTAGTGCCCATTCCCCCCCCCACCTTTAACTGTGGAAAGTGGGGAATGAATGTGTCATTGTAAATGCAAAACGATCTCACTCGCTTTGAGGATTTATCATCTGTTTTGGCTTAAAAGTTGGGATTTCAATTTTATTCTTGACCTTGGAAACAGCAGTTGGCAAAACAATCTCACCACGGTCACCATCCAGTAGCTGTTTCTGAGCTTTTGATCGTATCACACAGTCTCAGCTCTTCAAGGACTTCTCGTCCATGTTTGCTTCAAAGTTTAGACCGAAACATACTCAATGGGCCACTGGGATCATGTAGGAAAATAAAGCAGAGTTGAATGTCTGAATCTCTCCCTCCTCCATCTGTCTCCACACCTCTCTCGCTCATTCTCTCCTTCCTTCCCCTACTGTTTGCTCCCTGCTTCCCCTTCCCATTTTCTCCAAGCCCCAACCGCTGTTACCGTGGCAACCACTTCTCTGCCCTGATACAGCACGGGAAGAATTGTATCACACACACAAACACACACACTGTGACGGCTTTCCCTTCGCAGGGGTAATTGAAGCTCTTAATCCATCTGTTTCTCTTTTTTTTGTTAGTCAAAACAAAAGCAGGCATTGCAGGATGAAAGCTTAATGCACCTCTATTAAACGGCGTACAAAATGAGCAAATGACTGCAATTCCCCTATACTGAGGACAAGATAAAGGGGCTGGCATTCACCGTCGCCATCCACATACATAAACACACACACACACACACACACACACATACACCCTCACACCGAGACACAAAACACCATCACAACATCAAGCCCAAATTACATCAATATTTTTCACTGAGATCTTTGTGTTTGAGAACAGCTTCTTTGTTTCTGTCTTGTACTGTGGTGCTGTCGCTGTGGTGTGGCTTAATTAAATTGAGATGGGGATTACCTGGTGTGTTCGTGTGTGTTTCTGTGTGTGTGCTGAAATGGCACTAGGGTGTTACTGTGGGAAAATGTAACCTGACTGCTACATTGTGTCAAGGAATTATGGCATATATGCCCAGTGAGAAAGAAAGGGGATACTGAGAAGGATAAAGGAAATACATTCAGTGCACTGAATAAGAGAGAATTCGTGCAGGCAGAGAGACACTCCCTCTCTCTAAATTGTGGTAATATTTAAAGCTAAATATATAAAAAAGCACATCACTATGTGTAACATAGGGATGATTTGTAGTGTCAAACGCAAAGTGAATTTCAGTCTGCAGCTCTATGTAGCATTTTAGCATCTTTTAGCTCATTGTTTTGGTTTTACTGCCCGCAACTTTACGACTCTGGTCCACTCTCACCGCTCTCATAAACCTCGTTGCCAGCTGTTGTGTTGTTTAAACCCACTGTATGCTACTTGCCCAGCACCCAATGACAGACAAAGTTAGAGACCAGCTTTTTAGGGAACATAGCGGTGCATTTAGCATCTAAAGAGCCAGATACTTCCCTCAGGAGTTGGAGGTGGAGTAGACAGACCAAAGAGTTCAAATGAGGGCGAATATGTCACTGACATTTGTCAGATGGGCAAAAACAATAGTGAAGGAATGCTGCTGTTGGATGCTTCCACTGAGAGAAAAAAAATATATTTTAGACTCTCAATGAGCATTTTTCTTTGTAGTTGCAAGCCCATGCAGTTGGCTAGCCAGCTCATAAATATTTCCCTCTGAATTTCATATAAAAGGTAACTGTAATACCTCCTGCCATGCTGTGTAGCACTGCCAACAAGGTCCATAAACCAATAGCTGTTGTTTGTATGTTTATTGTAGCTTTAGGTAAGTAAATAGGTCAATTGAAAAGATTGGTCAATGAGATACAAAGCATGGGGAGCAAGTTCTAAGGTGCCATATTCTAGGGATGTCCTTTTGTCTATGGAGATTGAGACCGGATTTTTAGTTGACTTTTTTGACTTCTAGAAAACAGACCCTTTGAAGCATTTTATTTGGTAGTAGCTTTAACGTGGGGAGACCTTTATCAAATCCCTAATTGGCACCCCAGTCTCATGCTTAAGCCTGCTCAGTTAAAGCTGTCTGTAGTGCAGAGGCAAAACGGCTTCAAACTTCCAGTTTTTTCCCCCTCGGAAAGTGAGTTCACTGCGCAGCACAAGCAGGGCAGACCAGAGTTTAGATCCCAGAGCAATGAATTCATTAACGGTAGCAGATGAGACAGCAGAGATGGATAGCTCAAGCCTGGCCTTGGACATGTGGTAGTTAAATATCCTCTGTGACTTCCGTAATCACATCTCTTGCTTCCTGCTTGTGTCACACAGGTCTCCCTCACGCAAGCTTAAAATAGGGATGAAAAGAGGCTTAAATAGTGATGTAGAAGTGAGTGATGAAAGACAGCTCCGATGGAGGGATGTAGGAAAGACTAGAAGTTTCTCCGTGGCCTCAATTTGACCCTTCTCTCCTTTTCAAAGCTCCTTGTAGTTAGACAGTCACTCCACTTGGTGCTGCTTCACGCTGTTCAGGAAAAAGATTACCGGGTGAACAATAATAAGACGGTTGGGCGAGCACACACGGTCATGCTCTCTCTGTTCAGCTATATCTCTCTCGTCCTCTTCTTGTTGCCCAGAGCATCTTGTGTTGCCAGCAGGGCTGCCAGGCTGTCATGTCTACCCTTTGTGTCTAGTCATGCTGAAGCTGTCATATAACCACACACTGCTTCGTTCGGGCAGCTTAAACGACACACTGAAAATAACCTCGTAATAAAATCCCACAGCACAGCATAAATTAGGCCTTCCCAGACCTAGTCATTCTGTGTCGAAAACCCAGGAGCTCAGCCCTGTTATGTAGAGAATAACTGTTCTGCTATAAAACAGTGTTGGTGCCTTGTTGTTAGATCATTCTCCAGCGTGTTTTCTTCTGGGATCTCAGATAGGGCAGAGCAGTCACGACAAAACAAAACATATTCATCATTTTGACAGATATTGCAATTGTCAAATGTTTTGTGGTGTAATCTTCAAGCGTGTTTAAGTCTTAGAGGACCATGTTATGTTTTTTTTATATGTTTATATTTATAGTACAAAGCACATCATATATTTAAGACATATTTCTTACCCTCTAGGCAGTCCCTGTTTATCTCACATTTCACTATGGCACGGAAATCAGCTTTTAGGGACTTAAATGTTCTCTGTAGCTTAGCATATTCTTGCCTTTATTTTTTGTCAAAGCACCATTGTCATCACTTGGTAATGCACTCTTGGGTGTGTTGGAAACATTGCAGCCTCAGTGCCTTGACAGTCAGCAGCTGGACAGCATATTTGTAATGTAAAGACTACTTCCAAACTGTATTTTTATTCATGTTTTCAGAGAGGTAATTGCCTGTGGGACTTTATGTTTTCTCAGGCAGTGCTAATTTCTAGGTTTTGTATTTAACCCAACAAGCTCCACCAAATTATTTCAATTTCACCATTTCTTCCCACAACATTGCATTTTTAAAGATACGGCATTTTTTTTAAAAATATGCTTAAATTAGTTAGATGAGACTATTGATACCACCATGTGTGTACAGTAACTATGTAGCTGGAGTCAGCAGCTGCTTAGCTTAGCTTAGCATAAAGATTGCAAACAAGAGGAAACAGCTAGCCTGGCCAGGAAACCGGTGGAGAAACCAGGAAGTTATTGGTCCCGGCCAAGATATAGTAAAACAGAGAATTGTTGTTTTTAAAGTTTTTTTTTGTACAGATTAAACAAATGAGATATAGCAAGTTAATTTTTGAGCCAGGCTAGCTGTTTCCCTCTGTTTACAGTCCTTGTGCTAAGCTAAGCTAACCAACTGCTGGCACCGCTACATATTTAATGTGCAGATGTGAGAGTGTTATCAATCCTCTCGTATTACTCTTGCAATACAGTGAAATAAGCTTATTTCCTAGAATGTTGATGTATTCCTTTAAATACACAAACAAGCGGGTTCCAGCATGTACCAAATGTAGCTATGTAACAGAAAACGCAACTTTTTTTTTTTTTTTTTTTACATATAATCTCCTCTGATAATGATTTTATCCTGTGTTTGACTCTTGTCTGGTCCTTTACTGCTCTTATTTTTTATTCTTTTCCTTTTATTTTCTCCTCATCCTCCTCCTCCTCCCCATCTCTTTACATCCTACTACAGAAGTAAATGTGGAGCACAGTTTGGCAGTGGCTCTACCGGCCATCTGGTGCTCTGTATGTATGTGTGTGTATGTGTGTGTGTGTGTATGAGAGAGTGTGTGGGTTTGTGTGTATGTGTTTGTCCTTGTATTTTGGGATGTTGACAGCAGATTAGGACGAACCTCTCATAAATAGTGCTGTAATGTCTGGATGGTATTTGCTGTGCGAGGCTTTCTTGAGCTTTTTTAATATAGATTGACTTAATATAGCATGTAACATCAGACGCTGAGGTGTGACTTTGTGCTGCATTGTTTGACTCCTGCTTTTCCTGCATTTGTATTCACTGCTTTGGTTTCTGTTTCTCTAAGATTAAGCAACCAAATAAAAGTAAAAGGGATGCAAATCGCACATTATTTCTTTGTGTCAAGTAAATAATTAACCTACTTTAAGATAAGTGCTTGAGGTAGTTTTGGTGCTATTATAGCTGGTGGTAAACAAAAGCCCTTATATTGTAAAGTGCAGAATTCAATCTTCAAGTACTTTATGTATCAAGTGTTTGTTTATGTGCATATCTGTACTGTATGTAGCAATATGTGCTTCTTCTGTCCCATTTCTTTCTTTGGCACCAAGACTGCAACAAAGGAACAATCAGACAATATAGCTGGAAGTCTCACATCTTAGCCTCTGGTGCTTTCCACAGTCTGAGATATTACACGCTATATTAACTCAATCTATATCAACAAAATCTATATCTTTAGCCTGGTTTTTGCTGTCTTTAAATATATATGCAAATCTGCAGCAAAGCTCCTCCCAGCAGTGAGGCGTCTCAGAGGCATTATTTGTCTTTGACTAGGAAACTCAACACTAAATACAGCAGCTCTTGAATGCGATTGGCCAGTATTAAAAGAGATGTATCCACATGTTGTTTTCCCCCTGGTATTAACTGTATTTGATAAGCTTTGATCCTGCATTTGGGGATCTTTCAGGATTTAAAGCTTATGGGTTTTAGTGGTTTATTTTAACCTTTCCAGATCCACCCTTTTATTCTTACTTCATCAGAGTTGGACAATATGTGATTTTTATCAGTTCTTTTAATTTGTTTAATGTTTGCATTTTCAGATTAAGTCTTAAGAATGCTTAAAATGGCATCAGGAAATCGATTTGTGCTAATAGCGTTCTCTCCTCTTCTCTGCAGATGGAACACCGGCATCGTAAGAAAGAGACCGCTGCGCCTGCTAGCACCCATCACTTGTTCGTCCACATGAAGAGCCTGATGAGCGCCAATCTGGGGGAGGAGCTAGAAGTCTTCTTCCACATTTATGATGGACGGGAGAACCGGCCCCTCAGGTAGACACCATAATTCTAAGAAGTAAATATGGGAAAGGTGTCGCTTTTGTGTACTAGTAACAACATTTCCTTCATTATTATACCTACGTTATAACTCTTCCTCACTTTGGCATGACATTTAACTGTTGTTGTGTGTTCATAGCAATTTAAGTAAGGTGGATTGGCGATTCCAGGGTGAATGGCTTCCCTTCTGATGTCAAGAAGACTTCTCTAATTATATTCATGAAGATTTATTAAATGAAGCAGGTTGTTAAAGTGCACATAAAAGTGGGCAAGGCCATGCTATTTTCTCATATAAAAAGTGTCTGTGCTGTCCACATAAAAGAGCCCTATCACCCTGGGAGTCTCCACATGTCACTTGCATGCACGCATACCAACACACACACACACACACACACACACACACACACACACACACACACACACACACACACACACACATACATACATACTCCTGATGGGGCGTCGGCCAAAGCAAGACTGTGTTTAAACTCCCTGGTTTCATAGTTCAAAGCGATGGAATTCCATTTCATGTCACAAACAAGTGGATTCGTCAGGCAAAGGAAAATGAGTGGGTTGAAAAATGAGCACGGCAACACTGAAACTGCTTTTGATAAGTCATGCTCGAGTTTGACTTTACTCTCCGCCCCACAGGGTCACATCAGAGGAACAAGGGTGACATTGATGGGGCTCATTTTGTTTCAGCGTACAGCAACCCTACTTCTGTTTTTATTGAAATCCGATTCATTATTCATCTCGTTGCTGGCACAAATGAAACTTAGTTGACTTAAGTGTCTTTAAACCTTGCGTGGAGAATCTTTGGTCTCCTCCAACATCGCATGAATAATGGCACACAAGAAAAGACGTTCTATTTTTACTGGACGCTCGGAAGGCTTTTTAGTTTTCATGATGTGGTTAATCTGAGAGAAAGATTTCTGGTTTCTGAAAAAAATAGGAACTGTATGTGTTCACACACACAAGCAAACACATAATGTATCAGTTCATCAGAAGCACTCTTGATTAGTAAGGTATATTAAGATACGCTCTCCTGTCTCCTTTTAACTCATACATCCAATTTTTTGATGTACGGTAAAAGGTTTGGCAATAATGAAGGTTTTTTCCCTGCCCGCACTTTGTCTTGAAGTGGGTAATTAGCGTCCAGTGGTATCTTATTAAGTTCCACTTGAAGCACTTTCTCTCACTGTCATTATCTGTCTCTCAGTGTCTGTCTTGCTTCCTGTCTTCTTTCTACCTGTCTTCATCCGACTATGACAGATAGTCATATCATAGCCAGGAACAAGTAATTAGACTTCTTGAGGTCTGTCATGCATTTGAAGTGGATTTACAGCTCATTCTCTGATACAGAATGTGGACTGGAAGTTGATACGCAAAGAAATCTGTCACAAATGTATACTACTAGCTTCAGAACGTCTAAGTTTAAGACTAAATACAGCAAAAATATACTAAACTCATACAAATTCTCTATTTTCTAAATCAGCTAATTCCAAATTTTCCAGTTTTGGGGATAAAGACAGTCAGAGGCCATTGTGTCTTAGTGGTTCTGTCTTCGAGGAAAACCACACAATGGCAGCTCGCCAACGTTGTCTCTCACTGTCTGGTCACACACACACACACACACACACACACACACACACACACACACACACACACACACACACACACACACACACACACATTTACACAAGATGCCTGGCATGTAGCCATTTTGACACTTCCCTCTGTGCTGGTGGTTTCTGTGTGTGTGTGTGTGTGTGTGTGTGTGTGTGTGTGTGTGTGTGTGTGCGAGTGTGTGTGTGTGTGTGTGTGTGTGTGTGTCAGAGACCAGATGGGGGTCCGACCCGTTGTCTCTACCATGCCAACACCAGCAGCCCCTTTGCATCACAGCACCTTCTTTGTGTTCAATACAGGCTCCATGTTTGGCTTTTGAGCTGGACACACACACATATACATACACACACACACACACACACACACACACACACACACACACACAATCCTGTTGCTCTCTCTGCTCCAGATCAAACATTTATGACCTCAATGTGAAGACCCTTCATACTGCCTCACTCTGCTCTCTCGATACACACTCACACTTCCCTTCTCCTGCTTACTGTAACCTCCTCTAAACTCTAACAAGGTCATGACTGGACTCTGTGTGTGCGTGTGCGTGTGTGCATGTTTTTTCTGTTCATTTTGTGTGAACTCCAGAGGCCCAGTGTGTGTTTTTGTCAAAGGGGGAAATTGTATGTAGCTAGCAGGTCCGGCCTTGTGCGTCCTCTACCTGTTCACCTCACTGTCTTGTCTAGCCATTTTCTCCTCGTCTTTCCACTTGGGGTAGATTTCTTTTTTTTTTAAGTAAGGGATGTGGGAGGCAACAGCGGCAATTTATCCAGTATTTTACACACTCACTATCCCACACACCCCCCTCAGCCCCCTCGTTGAGTGAGTGCATGGCTCCTAATGCAATCATCTATATCAGGAGAGGGAATAGCGAGCGCCGTGTGGGCCCAAAGGGGAGGGAAATCGGCCATTCATGTTATGTTAATGCAAGTGGTGATAGAGGGAGATAAGGTCCCACTGGGGGACACTGGTCCTCTTAGCTCGGGTGATCAACACGCTGCAGCTGTGAGGGAGAAAAGGGGGAGGCAAGGGGTGGGTGTGTAAGAGACGTGTGTGTGTGTATGTGTGTGTGTGTGTCTGTGTCTGTGTGTGTCTGTGTGTGTCTGTGTGTGTGTGTGTGTGTGTGTGTGTGTGTGTGTGTGTGTGTGTGTGTTTGCAGGAGTGGCTGTTAATTGGCAGTTGGGGTTTCAACAATAGAGCACTAATTAGGGTTCGGGAAAACGTGCGCAAGTCTCATGTCTAATGCATAGGAATCCGTCTCCATATGGCCGGATAAATGGCCTGGAAAGTTACAGAGACCAGCTAATGAGGAACAACCGCATCTAAATCAAATTGACTCTCAACTGGTTCATTCCAATCTAGATGATAAAAAGGAAAACTTTACTGAAGGAATACATGTATGAAAATCCTATGAATTTGCATAATTAATAATCGGGATCTTAATTAATTCAAACATGGGCACCCGCTGGCCTACATACACAAAACACTGAATGACAGTGCAAGAGGCACCCTCTTATTTACATCATGGAAGCGACATAGCAAGTTTTAAGCCTGTAAGAAGAGCTTTTAATAGCTAAGACTATAATAAAACATCCTAATCCATTGTAGCTGTATGCAGCATGAAGTCAAGTTATATAGGATCTGTTTGGGTATATTCTGTTCTTGTACGAATGGGCTGTACTGTAGTTTGCGCCTGCTAGCCGTTCCAGCGCCATGGCTCATTGTCAGGCGCTGGTGCATTACAAGGTTTTCTCTCTGCTTATCGGCGAACTGTGAAAGTCACCTAACTGGATTAGCCCTCAGCTCGCCAGCCAGGATGAGACGGGCCCAGCAGGATGCCTCTCTTTGAGCGTGTGTGCAAGATAGAGAGAGGGGACGGAGTACAAAGAGAATGGAAATGCGATCTGTGTCCGTCCTTTCTGTTTTTGCCCGACATGCACTTTCATTTCCCGCCTGCACGAAGAGCGGGGTGCAGGGTATTTGAGGCCAGAGTTGTTCATTTCATTCTGGTTTGTGAAGCTCTAGAATTTCAGATTTTAAAGTTGCACTGAAGAGTAAGTGCAGACTATCCAAAGTATGATTCAGTGTTGTTTAGATCGAAAGTCAGCAGTAGTTCACGTAGTTGTCTCAGTGTAGCTGCTTATTATTAGCCACACTAGTATCATAACTCTTGGCATGTCTGTCTGTCTGTCTGTCTGTCTGTCTGTCTGTCTGTCGGTTCTTCCAGATTGAAATATTTCAACAACTATTGAATAGCTTGCCATGAAATGTTGCACAGACATTCACAGTCCCCAGAGGATGAATCCTAATGACTTTAATGATCCCCTGACTCTTCCTCTGGTGCCACCAGCAGGTTCATGTTTGTGGTCTTCAGTGAAATGCTGAATGGATTGTCATGCATCATCAGTTTGGTATAGACGTACATGTTTCCCTCAGGATTAATTGAAATAACTTTGTTGGTCCAAAGTATTTCGTTTATGACCAAATACTCAATTCCCATCAGCCTCAGTTGTACTTTGTGTTCAGCGCTGTTTAGCAAATGTTAACATGCTAACATATTGATGTTTAGCAGGTGTGTTTACCATGCTGATGTGAGCATTTAGCTCAAAGCAGCACTGTGCCTACACCCTCACAGAGCTGCTACCATGGCTGTAGAGTCATAATTTTGTAGACAGAAGGATGAAGTCAGTTGTTTATGTTTGTTAAGTCTACATTTCCATAGGAGTTAGTGTGGCTGTAGACTTGCACTAGTATTAACATAGCATTTATGCATAATAATGTCAGACTGAACTCAATGTGGTTCATATACAGTAATTGCTATATATATATATTTTATCCAGTAAATTACGCATACAGCTCAGTATCTTTGACATTTCCCAGCACTTAGCAGGTTAATTTTCTCATTTTCTCTGTCTGTATTCACCCCACTAATAATGGTCTCAGTCTAGTCCTGTCACTGCCAGAAGATTTATGACAACCAGCTTGGCAGTTATAAGACTGAGATTGTACATTTTGTTGTAACCCGTCACTGTTTTTGCTGATAGTGCTGTATGTGGCCTAAAACGTGTCAGAGAGAAACAACACGCTGAATTTTTTATTCATCCGCGGGGGAGCCTCGTGTGGATGTTGCTGGATATGCTACAGACATTCCGTGTTCGGGATTTGGTTCAGTAATTCAAGCTTTGTATATGTTTTTCTCTCCCTCCATCCATCTGTCTTTACTCCCTCTTTGCCTGTCTTTCTCCTGCCTAGTATCCTCTTTCAGACAGCTTTAGTTTGAAGTTCGAACTTTGAAGCGTTCTCTCCAGTGCCCACCGTTCAGCGCTTGACATTTTTGACATCGTCTCTAATCTTTATTTTGTTGTTGTTAGCAGTGGCTTGGATGCGGTTGTTTACGATGACACCCAGCCATCACTCCTGATTCCATTCATCTCAATGTGTGTTCCCTCCCTCTGTCTCTCCTCTTGTACACAGCGAAAGGTTCTTTGTCAAGCTGAATAAGGGCGGGTTGCCCAAGTCGCCAGAGAAGACAGAAAGACAATGCACGCTATTTGTGGTGAGTAGTGGACATGGCTTTGACCTTACAGAGACTGATTGGGAGCAATTTAAAGCTACTTAAAGTTGACCTGAGTCATCTTCCATTACTCTGAAAGCTAAGTCAGTGCAGCTTGTTTACAATCTAATGCTAAAGTATGTTTTCTTGTTTTGTCAGGATTTGGGAAGCAGTGATCTACGAAAAGATGTTTACATCGTTGTACACATCATAAGAATAGGTGGGTGTTAGTTCTGCTTCTTTATCCTTCTGAGCACTACATGTCTTTAAAAATCTCTTGGGCTTTCATATCAGTACTGTTTTGACTGTGGATGCTTCTTTGTGTGTGTGTGTGTGTGTGTGTGTGTGTGTGTGTGTGTGTGTGTGTGTGTGTGTGTGTGTGTGTGTGTGTGTGTGTGTGTGTGTGTGTGTGTGTGTGTGTGTGTTTGTGTACAGGGAGAATGGGAGCAGGCGAGAAGAAGAATCTGTGTAGTGTGCAATACAGGCGGCCGTTTGGCTGTGCTGTTGTCAGCATCGCCGATCTCCTCACGGCTGACTCCAAGGATGACCACCTGCTCAAGGTTTATGCGTAAGTCACTGAAAATTACCAGTATTTCAATATTAAGTCCTTCCTATTACTACATTTGTTTATCTCTGGCTGAAAATCACTGATTAACACACTATATCTTATTTGTTTAATTCATACAAGAACCGGGGCATCTTCATGCTAAGCTAACCTTCTGTTGGCTCAAGCTTTATGTTTAACAGACACATATGAAAGTGGTGTAGATCTTCTCAGCTCCCTCTCGGCAAGAAAGCATATAAAAGTGTATTTCCCAAAACTATTCTAAAAGTCACTGATCTTTAAAATTAACTACAACTTCAGCTTTTATCCGGAATACCAACTATATATCTTGCGAAACAGATATCAGTCTTTGAAAACCCAGTGCTAGAATTCCCTTTTATAAAGCTACAAAGCAATTCAGTTCAAGTCATCTCACTAGCTGGTAGTCTCTCGAACAGTAGTAACAGACACATCTCACAACTACAGAACACCTTTTCCTATTGTACTTCAGGGGCTTGGTGCTTTTTCATTAACGGTGGCAGCGAAAGGACTTTATTGTCCAACCTAGTCAACACGATGCCCCTAGGGATAGAAAAGGCTACCGCTGACACAGTAGTCTGACCTAAATTATAGTTGGATCAGACCAACTGGCCCAGAATACACTTAGCTCTGGAGAAAATACAACCCCTTTCTCTATACCTGCAGTAATACCAGAGGTTTTTGTCGGATTAGCATTAAAGTTCTGAGCCCAGTGTTTTCAGCATTAGGTCCAGACAAGACGTCATTGTAAATACTGTAAGAAGTTGTTTTCACTTGACCTGCCCCAGTTAAATGTTAAACACTGCCAAAAAAATCTGTGCACGTGGAGATTTAAAGATGTGGACATTTACTCAAATGAAAAAAAGCTTTTGTTGCATTATGGGAAATGGGATACAACTTTTCATCAGAGCTTGACCCATATATAGGCCCTGACATTCATAATATGTTTGCTTTGCATTGATTTTGACCATTCTTTTAGTAATCTGTCCTTTCCCTGCTTTATTTAGGAGAAATTGTAAGTTGCTGGAGTGCTCCTTTTTAAGTAGTAAAACATTTATTTTCTGTCTAAGGTGTAACACTGAGAGTGAATGGTACCAGATCCATGAGAACATCATTAAAAAGGCAAACTCCAGGTACAACCTGTCGGGCTCCAATACCGGTAAGAACCACATCTTTTTAATCCATTTTGCTTACCTCACTTCTACACATCTTTTGTTTAAGACATTAAACAAGGGGATTTAGTAATGCCTCAAGTTGGCCTCTTGGTTTTAAGCGGATATACTGGGTCTTTCTTTCTTCTTCTGTTTCATGCTTTTAAAATCTTGGAACAACTGATGATAACCAGGCTTATTTTCTTCAAAAAACCTTTATTTTGCTGTGTTGACAAACTTAGCAGCTCAATTGCATCATCAGTCTCTTGCCATGCAATAGTCAGTTTCCGGTCAGTGTAGTGTTTATGTGGAAGTGAAGTTCCTCTTTAGGGGAGCAGATCATTCTTCACATGGTCGTGTCTGCAGGAAGCCTGTTGTTGCAAATGCATTCAGATGATTTTTATAAATAGCTGCATTCGCATCGTGCTGAACACCAGCATCAGCAGTTTCCCATAGCAACTGGTTGGTGGAGAATCAGAACATTCAGTTCTTCAAACGTCAAAGAAATGTCATGTGACATATGGAGAAGTTTTGTTCCGCATAGAGATTGTAGAGATTATACAAATGATCTTATAGATGCAGCTGTTAGTTAAATCTTACTAGCAAAATATTTGTGTACACAAAATTATAGCCCACAATGAACTTTTGCATACAAAACAAATACAATATATTCTACAGTGAAGAAAGTGTAAAGCGAGAAGACATAATCATGAATTAAACAATGTTAGCTAGTTTGCAGCTGTTTGCATCAAGGGGCAAATGTACAAGCCACAGTAAGCAATCAGTAACTTTTCATAGGAAGTTTGCCTTAAAGCTGATTTACATAAATTACTTTTTGAAATGCTGCTGCAAACTTGCTGAAGGCTGTTATTTTCATAATGAAAATATTCATTTCTTTCTTCTTACATTTTAACAAAGTCCATTGTCTCCTTACATCTCCCTCATGTATACTTAGAGCAACACCACAGACTGCTACATAGAAAAAGTTGATAATAGTTTGACTTCTATCAGCATCCAAAAAGGAGACGCGAGAGAGAGATTATAAGAATGTCAACAATCTGTGGGACTGATCTACTGACTCAGCTCCTCTTTCCAGCTTTCCTCAGAAGATCAATGATTGCTTGAGGTGAAGTCATACAATTCAAGGGTTTTAAATGATCATGAATAATGTTGCGCAAGCTTGGAGGAATTGCAGTAATTAAATTGAGTGACACAAAGCCGTTTATCTGAGCAGCATCTTTGCACTACGTTGGTTCATAAGAAAACTGCAGCTGAAGTTCTATATGACATTGCTGCTGTTGAATAGATGGAGATGTGAGGGGCTTTGCATAGCAGAGCTGATAAGTGCGACAAAAGTCTAAATTTATTTCTGATGAGGCAGAAGAATGAGACTAAAATAGGAATATTACGCAACTTACTCCACTGTTTCCTTATCTCATATTAAACTCCAACAAAAATCTTAATCAAGTTCTTCTATCAGCTTTATTTGCCATTTAATCTGTTGACTGGCTGTGTTATCAGATAACACACAGCTACGCACGCGTTATCAGATTTAATTACAGATAAAGCATACAGATAACGTGGTGCTTTGTTGATGTTAAACTTCCAAGACCTTTGGCAGATGACACTGCAGACATGCAACTTACTCAGTGTTGCCTGATGGATGACATCCAGCTTAGTTCGCAGTATGTTTTCAACATATAAGTGTTTGCTTTGGGCTTTCATTTGACAGCGTGCTCCCATACTGGCACACTCATCATAAATACATGTGAATGAATTAGTTTAAAGAGTTACTCTCGCTCTTTGGTTGCTGTGTGCAGTTATTCACAAACACTTGGATGTTAGCTATTGAGTGGCTGTCAGCTAAAGACATTGATCCAGCTGAACGCCTGATTTGCCTCAGTGCTTTCTCTTTCAAAGTGCATTAGAGGAGAGCTTTGGGCCTTTTGTCACAATAGCCTTGCGTGCATAATTCGAGTGGGTTCGTTCCAAAATTACATTTCCACCACTTAACTGAATTTGACATTGATCTTAGAAAGAAAAATGCTTTAATCACAAAAGTAGAGGTAATAATTTCCATTTGTAAGATAATGAGCACTGAATATTAGGTTTCATTTATGTATTACGAGCACCATTCATCTGTCTGTGGGCCAAATTAATTCATTATGATTTTATTTGCTTTGACAGTTTGACTTTGTAAGGGCTGTGCTCTTATTGTCACTTTTTGACTTCTATCTCTTCTATTATCTCTCTCTCTCTCTCTCACTCTCTCACACACACACACACACACACACACACACACACACACACACACACACACACACACTTGCTCTTACTGTAAAACAAGTTGCCTGATCATCATTTCCAGATGTATGAAGATCCATACTCCAAACTCTCTCTTAGATTCTTGTGCCTTTACTGTCCTCTGCTCAATCTACATTCCGAGCAGCTGTGCACAGCATCACTTGCAGCACACTTTTTTACCGGGTACATCCTCATCTGTAAAGTAAATTCCTCCCAAAGGGAAGTTACTCTGCTGCAGAGCAACATTTCAGAATAGATAACACTTGAATCGCTTGTCTCGAAGCCAAATGTGCAAACTGGAGAGAATATTTCATCTTCAGCAAACAGGTCAGTGTCTCCTCTCCAGTTTGTCCCTGTAAAAACGTCTGTACAGGAGTTATGGAACACTATGCATAATTTAAGGACCACACAATTTATTACACTTACTGTCAGGAGGGCAATTAAAACAAGTGTGCAGCAGAGTGAGATAATGTGCGTTTGTGTGTGCATATGTGTACATGTTTATATATGTGTGTGTGCACTATGCAGTCTTTGTATGTGCAAAGAAGTTGTCTCGCTGTGTGGTTCTGCTTTCAAACAGACCTGGCAGTGTGCCAGAAGTCTCTTATTAGCAGCCAATTAGCAGGGGAGTGATGAATGCACTGCCCTTAAAGTAGTAAAGAACACTGGGCTGTGTGGGTAATAAAGAGGCAGAGAGACAGTCCATGTAGGGAGACGCTTATTTTGTTCACATGAAGCCTAATGACTATCTCATTTTTCTCATCCTGTTTGTTTCAGGGTCACGGGGGCTTTTGGGGTAATCTAATTCGAAAAAGAAGAGCGAGGGAGCTGATGATTTTGTTTACATGCAGCCCAGTAATCCATAAAAAGGATTTCATAAGAATCTGGCTCTGCATGAGTCAGGTCAGGTAGATAATTCAGCTCCCACCTCCACTGCGAGCGTAGGCAATGACAGAAGAGGCTGCGACAACTCCACTGTTTTGTTTTTTGAGTTTTTATTTTTCCTCTTGTTTTGTTGAGTTTGTGAAGAGGCAGGCCGGGTGGGCTGAGGGAAGCAGACGTCGAGGGTGTTTTTGTCAGCGTCAGCTACATCGACCAGGCAGAATAGTAATGAAGCTGGTTTGCCTAATTGTAGCCCTGCAGTGGCTTTTAGAGCCTGTCTGTCTGTCTGTCTGTCTGTCTGTCTGTGTGTGTGTGTGTGTGTGTGTGTGTGTGTGTGTGTGTGTGTGTGTGTGTGTGTGTGTGTGTGTGTGTTGGTTTATGTGTGTATAAATGCCAAAGGCTTGATCCACATTCGGGCAGGCAGATCAGGTTCGGGGCAAAAAAAAATAATTCTAGGCATTTTAACTTTCCTATCTGTTCACAATTTGGCAGCAAGCCGGAAAACTTTAAACTCTTTTTTGCTCAACTTGACTGCCTTGCGCTGCTGCTCTGTGCCTTCGCAGTGCAGTATATTTTGGCATATTGCTAGCAGGTTTGCAAACAAGTCACGTCGCTTTGTTGACTCCCTGTGACTGAAACCTCTTGCGGCTAATGAACCATTTCACCACTCGCCTCCCAACTTTCCTGAAAACATCCACAATAATAATAATCATCATCTTGTCTCTTACACGCTCCCCTTGCTGTTAAGCTGTTTGTGTATCTGCCTCTCCTTGTTGTCACGAGCTTGGACAGGCATGCGCTCACACACACACACACACACACACACACACACACACACACACACACACACACACACACACACACACACACACACACACACACAGCAACGCGTGCAGACATCAAGGTGATGCATTTTGAGCTCTAAATACAAGTCGGTACTTTAATTTAGCTGTGCTGACATTTGGAGTTATTGCATAAGGATATTGATTTGCGACGACAGCCTTCATGTAGGATTTCCTGTTAATAAAAAAGTGCTGGGGATGACTCACAGGCTGTTTGCATTTTTCTGTTTATGTATGTGGGGGTGTCTACTTGTTTTCCATACACACAAGTGTTGCTGTTGGCACGTATTACTGTAGTTGTCTGGTTCGCAAGTCCATGCGGCTGTAATAAAACTGAAAATATGCCCTTGTGAATACTTTTTTCTGAGATTGTTTATAGTATTGGGAATAGGGTTATGATATATTTTGAGCATTTTTATTGAGTGGCTTTGGTATGGAAAGGGAGGGAATATCAAGGCCGTGTTGTGGCTGTAATATAGGAATATGATATTTCAGATTTTGAATTTTGTTATTGTTTTTTAAGGTCTGGCAGTGGCTCTTCAGCTCCTCCATGGGGACATCGATCAGCTGAGACGAGAGTACATGGTCCTCTTCGCACGAGGTGTGTCCATCACCAGGAAACTGGGATTCTCTGATGTCATCATGCCAGGTAGGACACCACAAACCTGCAAGTAGTACTCTGCCAGGTTACCTTCCTTCAGTATGTTCAAGAACTTCACCAGTCTTGCTGGTTTGTGATCATAATGGATGTCAGCTGTCTTTCTGTTTTTATTGCTACACACAGCTAATCTAAGACGCTAGCTTTCTACTGTAGCTAGCTTTAGACTGCATTGCATGCTCTAGACGTTTTAAATCCTAAATCAAGCCAATGCTGAGTTACTTTTTTATAGAGGAGACAGTGACGACGGAACTTCAGCTTCCTGGAAAGTAGTTTCTTCCTGGAAAACAGAATATCTTCAGTGGTGATCTCATTGTGCCCAAGCAAGTGTCCAGCCAGTGCCAACCAACCAAGACTCAATTATTAAATCATTTTGGAGAAAAACAAAACCACCTGTAAGAATAATAGACCTGGCCAGAATATTATCTCCACAGAGAATGGCCCTAGCTGCAAGATTTGAACCACTGAGCTGCCCTCATTTAGTCCTTCACCTGCCCATAAACTACTGTTGGAGACATAAAACATACAATTTCCTATGCATCAGATTGGTATACCTAGGAAAATGATATCAATCAGTAAGAATAAAAAAACATTGATTTCTATGTAAAAAAAAATCAATGACACCTTTAGAACTGTACACTTAATGTCTTTTCTAGTGTTTCTATTGTACATATTGATCTTCCTTATATTATCTACTGTAGTTGCCTTGGTAACACTTGACAGCCTTACCTATTGCCTGAGCGTGATATTTGAATTCCACCTAAGGATGCCCTCAGAAAGATGAAATATTCAGACTCTTTCAGGTAGATAGGCATCACTTAGATAGCTGCTTCACTAAACGACACAGACCCCCATAGAGACCCTGAGGCTTAGCTGTATGGGGCCCTGTTGCCGTGGTAACAAAAGCACAACCATTCAAATGTAAGATGGAACAAGGGACAACATTTTTTACATGTTTATGTTTACGTATACCGTGAAAAAAGTACAGACATAAAAGTTCTGTCTGAATGAGCTCTGACTCTTTGTCTGTTCATTCATTTATGAGAGCTGGACGTCAGGGGACTTTTTTCCACCGAAGAGCTGTTCTTTTAAATAAGTGAGGTGTGCTGTCTGGTCACACAGATAAAGAGGAACCACAGACTGTGGGTCCCCCAGCGCCTCACTAACACAGATTTATGTTCACTGTCTCTTTCTTTGTCTCCGTCTGACTACAAACCCTTAATGCTGAGTGCTCTCACCCTCTCTGCCTGTGTAAGTCTGCCCTTGGGCTAAGGAAACTGTCTCTCCCTCTTTTTCTGTCTGTCTTTTCTGGATTTGTATCTGACAGTATATCTCTCCTCATTTTCTTTCTTCAGCTGCTCTAACCCCACCCTCTCTACTTCCTTTTTTCCTATTGTACATTAAGAAAATGCCTGTGTGTGTATGTGTGTGTGTGTGTGTGTCTGCCTTCCTGTGCTCTTTGTGTCTGTATTTGTGTGTGTGTGTGTGTGTGTGTGTGTCTTTCTGAAGCGGGTGTACAGTATGGGTGTATATAGAATGCCTCATGTTGCCATAGTTACTGTTGTTAAGAGCAGAAAATCAATGTTGACCCTCAAGACAGAGATATGATGAACAGACACACAGACACACAGACACAGACACAGACACACACACACACACACACACACACACACACACACACACACACACACACACACACACACACACACACACACACACACACACACACACACACACACTCACTCACTCACTCACAGAGGTTGTATAGGGAACCTATTGTACAATGTGTTTGACCGCAGCTTGGCTGCAGAGGAAACAGGCCTGCCCTCTTTCTTACCCAGAGCGCTTTGCACCATTTTGACTTCCCCTGCAGAAGGAAATAATAATGTGAGCCCAGTCATTGTACATTCAGCTGCAACTATAACAAAAAGATGTAGAATATTACTTCCTGGGATTATTTTCACTTAGTGTTTTGGCAGATTGCGCCACCAGCCTCAAGAAAAGACTGTGTTACAGGGGTGTTTATAGGTCAAATTTTTGTTTTTATGAATCCCAAGGAATCTAAATCTAAATTTACCACATTATTGTAACATATATATGCAGCAAAGAATTGTATTTTATTCCTTTTTAGGTTCTTCTTAGGATCTTAAGTTTTACCTCATCATATTTACTGTATGTTCTTATGTTCTTATACTCTTCTCATACAGTTTATATATGGACCAGATATGCACTTACATCTGTATGTAGGAATGAAGAGCAGCCAGTGGTACTAACTAAAATCTTAGTTGGAATAGCATCATAATAGCATTGAGTCACTGCTACTTTACCGGACACACCTGCCAGTCTGTGTCCAGTGGTGTGGTCTTTGCTCTGTTAATGTAAAAGAGAAATTTTACATTCTGTGGTTTTGTGAATCATTTCTTATGCACCCTAAGTCAGAGGTTCCACACCTGGAGGTCGGGACCCCCACAGGGTTTGCAAAACAAATATAAGGGGCCACAAAATACTGAACAGGACAGGAACCATCGTCTTTGTCTGAGTTGGTCACAGCCAGTACACATACTGTATGCAACCAGTAACGATGGGTTTGTGGCTCTTTTCTTAAGCAATGTGTGTTGTACATTCAGTGTCTTCTTTCCTCTGTGGCCTGTTTTATCATGTCACTGTCAGTTCACTGACAGGGTAAAGCCAACCACACTGATAGTTTGAAAGGACATGTGCAAGTGTCATAACTATGCCTTTTTCTTTGTTTATTGAAATTACATTCTTGACTTGAGAAAACAAATGATATACCTAGAAAATGGATACGGTCTACACAATCTGCTTACAGCGGATATTTAAAAACCTTTTATTCTCTTGTCAAAGGTCATAGCTCAGGCTTAGATTTCACATCAGCAGAAAATACATCATTAAATGCTGCTAATGTAAACGCTGTCCATCCCTGTCATAAGGCATTACTCTAAAAGTTGTCGTCGAGCTGCTGGGAGGTCATTAATAATGCTTGCTTGTATCCATAATCAATGCCTTGTTGCCTCTTTTACCTTCCTGTTCCTGCAGGAGAGATGAGGAATGACCTTTACATCACGCTAGAGAAAGGCGAGTTTGAGAAGGGTGGGAAGAGCGTAGCCAGGAACGTAGAGATCACCGTATATGTGCTGGATATCGATGGACAAATCCTCAAGGTAAGGTTTTTTTCTTATCTAGGATCTGTGTCACTGTTGTTATGGCTTCCTTTTGCAAAAGCCATAACTGTCATTGGAAAGATACATCATTTTTAGGTACTTAAACCTTTGTTTATGGACGCTAAATGCCTTATTTAAGTCCTTAGTTACCTCAGATTTTTCTTAATAGTGGGTGTCTTATTTTGGAGCAAAACTCTTCATTTAAATATCGCTGACCCAGATGAGAGCTAAGTGTCTCTCCAGTGTGTTGCCCATTTCTGGTGCAGCGCTGTGACAGTCTGCCTCTGTGGTTTCCTGCGCTGCCTCGGCCTTGAACAGAAAATAGACTCAAATATAACCCTGCTGCCACTGCCGCTGCATGGCACGCAACCCTCTGACACACATACAATAAACACACACATGTAAACCATGTCACACTCACTTTTTTGGCATTTGTGGCGTGTACTGCTTGTTTTAAATTCAGTCCTATATTTTCATGTCTGACTCATTAATTCATTGTGTCCTTCAGATCTGCTCCGTACCCCTCGTCATTGAGCCCGGCCTCTCATTTCCTTTCTTCGCTGCCTGTTCACTCCTCTCCTTCCATCTCGTTTCTTTATTCATTCTCTTCTCTTTGTCTTTCAGAGTCATGTGGCTGCTGGCTCTGGTGAACCAGGTGGGGATGACTACCACTCCCTAGTGCTGTACCACAACAACAGCCCCCGCTGGGCGGAGCAGATCAAACTGCCCATCCCGGTCGACATGTTTCGGGGGTCGCACGTCCGGTTTGAGTTCAGACACTGCTCCAGTAAGTGGGAAGGGGATTGTGGATACCCTTTATTTATCTAAGAAATGTTAAGTGAACACCTTTTTCCAGACTTTAACAAATTTTTCATTTAGCTGTTCAGGTGTGAACGCCTGAGGTGTTGCTTTCTTTTCAGTTGATTATCCATGGGAGTTGGAGGTAAAGAGGCGTTGTTGTGGATCGAGAAGAGCACAATAATCATTCAGCCTCCTACCCGCTTGAATCTGCCAGCCCTCCAGCCTCAAGCCCCCAGGCTGCTGCCACCTCCAACTAGACAGTGTCCAAGTGTATAAGAGTGCACTTATTTAAGCATTTTTATAATGAGACTAGTTTGTCCAACTTCTCACCTCCTAATGAGACAAAACTTTAATTATGACCAAAATATTGCTCACCCTCTTTCTGGGCTGCGGGGAGAAGGCCGAGTCTCCTCTCTCATAACAAGCTGATATTATTATGCCTTTTGCAGCCAAGCTGGGAGGCTGTGTGTCTGTATGCAGTAGATATAGTAGCCTTATTACTGCTGGCAGTGCTAGCATTGCTACCCAAGGGCTGCCTATTAAGAGCCCAATTTAAGCCTGTGGTGACACCAAACTGAGGAGACCATATTACATGTACTATTAGGGCTCCCAAACTTGGGGACAACCTGCCTGAAGAAATATGATTAGCAGACACTCTCATTTTCAATTAATGCAAAAGAGAAAGCTCGCTTTTTTCATGAATATGCTTTTAAATGCTATCTTGCTTTTGCACTCATTATGCAGCCGCGGTAATTGTTAATTTGTTTGTGGGGAGTCCAGTGTTGTTCCTAAATGGTGCTAAAGGGGACTGTCAGGACCTGTCGGTGTGAGCAGTGCAGTACTTTGTTTTTTTATTGCTGATTGTTTATTGAGTATTTCAAGCAATTGAAGCAATTTGCAGTACGAGTGCCTTATTATTAGTAACACTATTGCTGCTGTAGGGGCATGCTACTCCTGACTTTTTTCTCTTTCTAGACACCATAAAGATACAAAGTCTTTCCTTGTTTCCAATTTAAAACCCTGAATTCCTAACAAGCCCCCGGTCTATTAAATTCTGCTATATAATAGAATAGTGTATTTGGTAGAGTGGTTTCAAGATATAACAAACATCAATCTCCACCTGGTCTGCAGAGCTCAGCTAAGCCTGAGTTTCACACAGTACCACTTAATCTTTCTTAATCTCCTAGCACCTAAGGCTATGAGGGTTTATAGATTAGGAAAACCTGTCCAAAAAGAACCACACACAACAAAAAGCAAAAGTTTACAGCCTGTAAGCAATAACTTTCCTGGTGTAAAAACTTAATCACAGCAAAGCAAGACAGAAATAAAATGGTTATGATGCAGTACCAATTTTAAAAGTTTAATACAGTGCAACTTGTGCTTCTCCTGAGACTCACACACACTCACACACACACACACATAGAGGACTGGTAGACACTGCCTAAATGAATCACTAGTGTTGCAATGAAAGGGAATAGAAAACACTTCTCACTTCCCGCTGTGCGCACATTAGCACTTTATTGCTAAAGCAGCAGATAAATCAGATTACATGTGTTCATAATGCAAATTATGCCCAGAGCTTTCAGAAAGCAGCTTAAAACCACAGCAACCCATTTTAGTAAGGCCCTCAAAGAATAATTTAACAGCATCTAAATGTCTTGTTTTTGCTTTGTGCCTGTGCTGAGTGTACTTGGGGTGAGTTCAGTACACCCTGAAACCTTAGTTGTGTGTGGTTACAAGTGCAAGAGATTCTGACCACACACAACAGTGATGCGGGGTGTGGTCAAAGCTTAAAGGTACCATGTAGCGTTCTATGTCTACATTTAGTTTTTCTCATATAGTGCATCATCGAGGCATGTTGAATGCATTTACTCCCTCATAAAACATTTGCGAAGTTAAGTTTTAGCTTGTTCCTACAGTTGAGTGTTTGAGCTTCACTGTGCAGAATGATGTATGTGCAGAGTTCGACACTAGAAGGATGTTTTCACATTCATCTGCTGAAAGTGGAAAGTTTCTCTGTGCCTATTAAAAATCTGATTTTACGAGCATGATTTGATCACAAGTAGTATAATAGTCTTAATACATGTCTGGAGGGGATCTTTAACTTTTTAAAAACATGAATTGTTTGCATCCATGTCTTCTTCTCTGCACACTTTCATTGCAATGTAAAACCATCAGCAGTAACGTGTAGTCTCAACAATGCTTTTCAACTTCATGTTAGGTTTACATTTTAAGTAGAATAAATACACTGAAGGCAAAGCATTAGGCACGTATTACGTAACCAGTTTCATAATATGATCTTTTGTTTATTGTTCTCACAGCCTGTGCTGTTGTATTTTGGACTCAATATCATGTCCATGTGTTGTTGTTTGACAGCTAAAGACAAGGGAGAGAAGAAACTGTTTGGCTACTCCTTTGTTCCTCTGATGCAGGAGGATGGCAGGACTCTGCCAGATGGCACCCATGAGCTCATTATCCATAAGGTAATAACTGCATACCGTCACCACCAAGATTTTGACTGAACAACGTATAATCAAATCCAGTGTGTGCTTTGCAGATTTGTTTCTGGCACATACACAGTGTTTAATATTCATCTTGATGTGTGATTCTATCCTAGATTAAGTCTTATTTTTAAGCAATAGAATGTGATAATTTTACTTTTTTCAATGCTTTTTTACTTTCAATAACAGGGGAGTGATCTGCTTTGTATGAAAATGCAACCTACTTGGCCTATCAGTGTGCCATCCTGGCCCTGCACTACACATTTGATGTGGTATTAACAGAGCAATTTCAATGCAAAAGATTTCATTTGACAAAGACAAAAGTTCCATGGTCATGTTTATTGGTAAATTGCAGTTTAGAGATTCTCTTAAGTGAACCCACTCACAGGTGTTACCAAGGCTACGTCGGATGGGATTACATACTGTATATCATTATGTGACTCATTTGCTCCGTATGGCAAAATGTGGTCCTCCTGTTATCACACTGTTTGGTACCACGGGATGACAAACAGCTCACATCACTCCATTACAGGCTGACGGGCCAATGAGTAATGTCCACTTACGTAACATTGTCAAGCTGCGGGGTTGAATTTAACTGCGAGCGAGTGTTAATGTATGTGCGTTTGTCTTTGACAGTTGGCACTCAAGTAGTTACATAAACATCAGTCTACTCTGTCTGTATCTCTGTATTAAGCATGACCTTCATGTCTGAAGGCTCATCTTTTCACACGTTTTGGCTTTGAAACATCAAAAGACTGAAGCAAATAAAATGGCCAGCGTCCCCAGTTAAAAGCTACTGCAAGACCATCTTGGGTGTAATTCAGAGTAATTGCAGACTACATGCTTTTCCTCAGCTGCAGGCAAAGGGTGTGTGCATAAACCTCAGGCTTTGCTGAGGACGGAAAAGCATGGAGTGCATTCATACATTTTATTGGAAGTGAGGCAGGACAGTGACCAAAAGTCTGATTATTTACTTTGCTGTTAGCTATGTAGTCTTTAAAACACAAAAACCTCTTTTCTTTGTCTTCTTTTCCTGTTAGGAGGTCAGATTTAGTCCTCCCAAACCCCCTAACTTGAGCCTGCCACTTTTAGAGGACAACTCTGGTAGCGTGTGTGTGTGTGTGCATGTGTTCCCATCGTTGAGAGGGGAAAAGGCCCACTCTGATGCCAGATGGAAGTTGCTGAAAAACTCAATGAAACTGGCATGGCCTAGTTTCTCCTCAGACCCAAAATAGACACAGTAGAATCAGTCCAAAGAGTGTGGTAGCTTTGGAGCTCAAACGGCCTCAGCTGTGCATTAAGGCTTCACATGAAATCCTCAAAATAACAACAGAGTTCTGCGATTGATTACGCGCAATCATTTCACATGTGTCAATCATGACTGATATACAGCCCACAGCCAATGAGGTGACAGGTTGGCATTAAAACGGTGAATGCACCAGAACTATCACGTTCTTCCACTCCTCTCCTACAAACCTGTCAATTCACAAAATGTGTGCTTCTCTTCCTGTTTTTTTTCCCAGTGTGAGGAGAATACCAGCTTGGCAGACTGTTCTCGTTACCTGAAGCTGCCATTCTCCAAGGCCAACCTCCCGTCCAACAACCAGACTCTGAAAGGCACCAAAGAGTCTTTCTGGATCACCAGCTTTCTCTGCTCCACCAAGCTTACACAGAATGGTAAACTAGACTCAGGAATTGGCATTTTGGCCACTCGCCCAGTGAGGTGTTGTTTTGGGCTGCTACACTCTAACACTAACTCTTGTCAAATCTCTAACTGGAGTTAACTTGCACCTTAATACACTAGCTGCCACTGTGCTTCTGTGACGCTCACTGAGTAGAGTTTGGAACTATTACTGCCAAATATAGTCATTAACACGTCACAGAAAGCCTGACAAAATGGTTAAATGCCATATGTTTAAGAAAAGACAAAGGGAGCGAAGTGTGCTCAAGTGAGAAAGTGACATTTCCATCCAAAGTGTGTGAAACAAACCTGTGAATATGCAGGGGGGTGGGAATAGCTTCTAGTTTGCATTGCTCACTAATGAGCTAATAAATCCTTATGCCTTCAGAAATCTGCTCGCAAAGTGCGATTTGTAGTCTTATATCAGGAGGACTAGCTTGTCGCTAATATGTTTGCCCTCATTTAAACAAACAGCAGCAACAATAATCATAGATTAAAATATGAAGTATCCAGCAAGGGAGACATTTGCTTTTCTCCAGTGAGTCACTGGTGCATTCCAAACTTCTCCAGACACTGTCACGTTTTACCAGACAACAGTATTTTCAGTCTGCAGAAAAACAGTGAATGATGAATCTTTTTTCACCTCATTAAGTAGATGGAAGAATATATAAACACAAAAGCTACAGGCTCAATTTACTTGCAGCAGGCTGTTCATTTCCTGAATACATTTGACGTTGTCGGTGAATTGATTATAGAAATATTACAGTTTCTGATGACAAAAATGTACGTGACAGATTGGTAAAAAAAACAAACAAATGCAGACATGCACACACACAAACAAATTCACACATAAAGTTGCAAAAAGACACACTTCAGGTTGAACAGAATCCAAAGAGACAGCTAAAAGACTTTCTTCTCAAGTCTTATTCATGCATATGTCTGGGGACCTTGGCTCAGGAAAATGACTTTTTATCTTCTTTATCCCGCTGCACTTGAAAATGTCATCATTTGTTTGGATTCAGAGGAGTTTTGGGGGCTATAATTGAAGGTTGTGGTGATGCTTTGTGATCTGAGGTGCACGCTGCTCTCATAATCCTGAGTTTCTTTACAAACAAACACGAGATGTGTCTTGATCTCTTGTGGTTGTCACTGTCGGTTTTTTTTGTGTGTCTCCTTCATTTGCTATTATATCTCTCTATATCTCCATCTTTTTGTCCTTTCTCCAGGTGATATGTTGGACCTGTTGAAGTGGCGAGCCCACCCCGAAAGGATCAACGACAGCCTCTCCAAGCTGAAGGAGATCGATGGCTCTGAGATTGTTAAAGTAGGTCCCGCAGTGAGACTCTCAATGCTGAATTGCTCCCACTATCCTGGCATTCTTATGATTGATTGCTTTCTGATTTCATTTCAGTCCATATGCTATTTAAGTTTAAGTCAAAAACTGAAGTAAATTTCAGCTCCATTTTGTTTCGCTCCCTACCACAGTTTCTACAGGACACCCTGGACACTCTGTTTGGTATTCTGGATGAAAGCTCTCAGAGATATGGGCTCAAGGTGTTTGATTCACTGGTAAGTAAGCTGTTTTAACACTATGGTAATATACATGGATCTTTTTAGATTTTGTGTTCCTTCTTTCCCCTCATATGTCAACCACAATCTCAAAGTGTTTGAGTCAGAAAACAGAAACACAAGCTGACTGCTGGAGAAAGATCCAGTGATGTAACGCTACAGAGCTCGCTGAACCAATCTCAGCCTGGTTACGCTGCACTGCGCTGATAGAGCGAGTGATCGATCTCTCTGTCTCTCTCTCTCTCTCTCTCTCTCTCTCTCTCTCTCTCCTCTACATCAGTCTCACACTGAGACATGAACACACTCCTCTCAGTGTGGCGTTATCAGTGATGGAAAGGTCTAGCGAGCCGGTGCAGTCATCAAGCTTCCTTTTTGTGGTTTTGAGATCAATCCAACAAGTCTGACGAGTGGACTTATCTTCTGTGGTCGGACAAATCAGTGCATTTCACAATGACCTGCACACAAGGGAAACATGGTGTAATAAGTGCAGCCACTGTCAAAATTAGTTTAGCTTGGTTGTTTTTTATGTTTTATTAAATTTCATTCTGTTTATTGTTGTTTTCCTCATATCTTTTGTATTTGACACTTTTTATCTTTTTCTTTTAATAACTTCAAGTGATGTTTTTTCTTAGCTTAGATGTTGAGCAATGGACAAAACCTTCCAAAATTAACTGTGAGGCTTAGGTTGCTGCAGGGGAACTCAAGCTGTGTAGCTAAGCATTGATCAAACCCACAAAAATGTATTTTAACTTTATTTTTGTATTAATTTTTACTACATATACCAGATTTATTAGGCTGGATCTTAGGGAAATGTGTGTAAAGTTATGCATAAGACATCTAGAATATTTCTACTTGATAGAATGGTGAAGCCATTAAAAACATTTCACTCTGTCTAAACATCATGTAGCTTCCGTGGAACAAACTGATACAGAATATATGTAAAGGGTGTCATTTAGTGTGAAATAAGATCATAAAGCTCCTAAAAAGAGATTAAAAAAAATTATCTTCTATGTTAAGGAATACCTTTTAATAATATGTCTTCTCTGCTTATTTCCAGGTCCATATCATCAACCTCCTCCAGGACAGCAAATTCCAGCACTTCAAACCAGTCATGGACACCTACATCGAGAGCCACTTTGCTGGAGCTTTGTCCTACAGGTATGTGATGTTTCCGCCTTCACTCCTCTACATGTGGCCGTTCGAGGCTACAGCAGCGCCTTGAGCATACGCATATATTGTATTCTAATGACATACTGTATCACATGGACAGGCAGTTGGAGAGCCTGCGTCAGTGCTGAGAGGCAGCTCCACTCAGCTCATTGCTGTGATTTAGTCACCAGGCGCGTGAAAGAAATGCTTATGGTGCCCCCTGGCTGTTGAAAAGTGAAATATGAAATTGTGCTTGCTTTTTGCTTCCCGCCTCCTCGTTTCATTCTCCTATCTATCACATGCACACACATTCACACACATATTCACAACCTGCTGTTCTCACTGACTGTCTTCTTCACACTCTCTGTACCTGCTAAGATACGGTATTAGCACTATCTTCTTCTTCTCCTTTTTTACCCCATGTCTTTTTGCATGCACCCACTCACGCACACACACACACACACGCACAGAGAATACTGCTGCCACATCCATCTGCTTTAAACTTTTCTTACCTGTGATATTGTTTCATTACAATCTGTCACGCCTTAATTAATTAACAAACTATCTATGCATATCATTATTTTTCCTTTTTAAAACTATCTTTAGTAACCAAAATCCTCTCATTCTGCCTTCTTTGTCAGCAGCTTACTGCTGGTGAAACTGAATTGAATTTATTGGTCTTCCTAATGTCATTACTCTCAACTGTAACATTTAAACCAGCTGTATTTAAGCATTTCATGTTAAAACACTGCATTGCCACTTCTATTGTTGCTAAATCCTGTGAGAGAAGCCGATGTAACTCGAGGTGAGTGGTGATACTGTGTGTGTGTGTGTGTGTGTGTGTGTGTGTGTGTGTGTGTGTGTGTGTGTGTGTGTGTGTGTGTGTGTGTGTGTGTTCTCCAGGGACCTGATCAAAGTACTGAAGTGGTACGTGGACCGCATTGTTGATGCAGAACATCAGGATCACATACAGCAGGTGCTCAAGGTGAGGCATTTGCTCTGACGCACACAAACACACACTTGTATACATGCGCATACACACATAGACACAACAACAACACAGATGCATCCAGAAATACAAACAAACAAACTTCCCTCCGTCTTGCTGCCACTCCTGCTAATTTATCCTGCCATCAGCAGTGAACACATCGCACCAGCACCACCATTCATTATTCCCCTCCTCAATCTATTACACTGCATGCAATTTTAATCAGCAGAAATGCACTGCCTCTGGTGTTGGGAATCCACATCACATTATGCTAATGACTCACGCAGATACACATTTGCGGCTTATGTAGTGTGGTTTCCCCATTTATCATTTGCGAAATATGTTCTGCAGCAGAAGTAAATGTACCTCTGTCATGCAGTAAATAATAAATAAGTGGTAGACCACAGATGTGTCTGCAGGGTTTCCTTGTATGAGTGATCTATAGAATGTCTTTCATTAGGCTTTTTAAAGCACCTTCTTTCGGTTGAATTCTGTATCAAAAATGTGAAGTTAAACAATATTGTACTACTTTTCTAATAAAGAAAAAAACGCAGATCACTTTTTAAGTATTGTTGACTATACAATACTTTAAAAGTGTTTGTTGTCAGGTTAAAAAGTGGTTATTTTACCGATTTAATTAGAACAACTGTTTACACTATGACTGCAACTAATTGTCTACCATTAGGTATTGTGGTATTGTAATGTCTATAAAATGTAAAAAAGAAATCATGAAAAAAAACCATCACAAGCTCCAAGTGCCTAAGTGTGACGTCTTCAGACTCCTTATGAGCACTTGCCACTTGTCCAAAACTGAAATTATATGCTATTTTCAGAGATATAAAACAGAGAAAAGCTGTTAATCCTCACATTTGAGAAGCTAGAGTTCTGGTTTAAGAAATTACTTAAAGCAATGATTTTCTGTCATCTCATCAAGTGTTTCAGATAAATAGAGTTATAAAACTCAAACTTTGGATGAAATGCGTCAGGGGCAAAATTTAATGTTATGTCAGACTTCCCTTCCTTTTTCACTGGAAGGGAAGTCTGACTTGCAGGGCTTTTATTTTTTTAAATCACTGAAACACAAATGATGATTTGGAAACGATGATTGTTCTTTCCATCCTCCAGGCCAGCGAGTACATCTTCAAGTACATTATCCAGTCTCGCCGGCTCTTCTCATTGGCCACGGGAGGCCAGAACGAGGAGGAGTTCCGGGTCTGCATCCATGAACTCTTCATGTCCATTCGCTTCTTCCTTTCGCAGGAAAACAAAGGCACCAGTCCCGTCGCACAAACGCAGGTGTGTGTGTGTGTGTGTGTGTGTGTGTGTGTGTGTGTGTGTGTGTGTGTGTGTGTGTGTGTGTGTGTGTGTGTGTGTGTGTGTGTGTTTGGTGTGGGTGTGTCTCAAACCCTCTGTGCCTCCACAATCACAATGTGCATCTCTGTGTGCACTTACGCAAATGTGTAAATCTGTGCCTGTTGGTACTTGTGAGCCACATTATGTTTTCTTTCTCGAGGACTCTTGTTAATGCAGTCATGATAGGTGAGAAATTGCCTGTAATTGAATTTCATACTGCCAAAGGGGTCTGGAGTCGGAATAGGAATTTCTCTGGCAGCTTTTCCTTTCCCGCTGGGAGGTCTGCACAGCAGGGTAGCCGCCTTCACTCTTCGAAACAAGACCAAAACAAATAAGCTAAAGACGCCAAAGATAATCCTAATTATACAGCAAAAAAAACAGAGACAGCTGCTTGTGTGGTTGTGTGGGTCCTTATGCACACTTGTAGGGAACCACCTGCTTTTTTGCCTCTACAGGACCTTTTAGTACAGATCCAGGAGTCTTATGTTGTTCCTCTTCCTCTTGCTGCTTCCATCTCTTCTTTTGTAGTCTCATTTGCATCTTTTTTTCCAGTCACTTCTCTTTAGTCCATTAGCCTCATGTACTCTTTTAATGAATTCAATTCCAGGTCACTAGCAACACTTAAGTCACACAAAACCTGTATAACTGTGTGTGCTCATTCCCTTCTGTGTTAATTATTTCCTTCCTTTGTTGTCTTCTTGCCTCATCCATGTGAACCCTGAACAATGTGTTGTTCAAGCATTTCAAGAAAAATAATCTTTTCAATTACTCCATCAGGTTTTCTTTTCACAGCTCAGTCAAACAATTATAACAAGGCACTCAAGAAATTTGAGTTATCAAAGCCAGCAGTCTTGTTTGAAACCCTCCAGTCTCTTTTAGTCGCTTTGTAATAATTTCACCTTGGTGTATTCCAGTTATGCCCTGTCTTCGCCGTCTGAAAAGCTCCACTTCATCCCTGCACTGACTCCTGATCCAGACTAATCTGTAATCTCAGCACAACAACAGCTGGGGGGAGATGCATGCCAGAATCATGCTAATCTAACTTAATCTGTCCAAAACACATAACACACGTAAACAGCAAAGCCCTGTGCGCATCATTTAGCACCTGTGACCTTTTTTTTGTTTTCATCACAGGATGAGGTAACATCTGTGTTGAGCTGTAAACGGATTACAAAAGAAATTACGTAATTAAAACACACTCAGTGTATTTATATTAATTCAAAAATTAAATCAAAGAATAGGAGTTGTGTGTATCACTCCATTGTGACTCCTCTCTGAGTTTAGACTCCTTAGACTTTAGAACTCCTTGTTGTTCCATCTAAACTTCAAAAGCAAACACCTGTGACAGTAAAAGTGTAAAAGTTTGGTGAAAAATGGCTTCCATGCCAGGTTTTCCTGAAAAAATGAGGGCAAAAAGAAACAAAGAGGGAGAAGATGACACACCTCTCAAGATCTTAGTAAGCTTCATTTTTCAGTTGTGAATGTGACAGAACTTAACAAGAATAAGAAGCATCAGACAGAGTTACAAACCCATTGAGCCCATTGAGCTTCAAAGGACCTCCACATCACCCATATAAGTTTAATATGCAGTATGTCATGCTGATTTAGTGAAAAATGTATTGAAATTACTGAACAAACACTATATAAATCATGTATAGTCACATCTTGAAAAGCTCTGTTCAGTGTAATTTACAGCTTGAATGCTTTTGGGCTGTTAACTTTCAACAAAGTGATTCCAGTCTTAAAATATTTTGACAATAATGGATTCGAAAGTGTCTGTTCGATTTAGCCTCCAAATGATTGAACATCGCCCCGTTCTGCCTAGGCGGTGTTCCTGCGGACATTCCCGGCAGTTTATGGCGAGCTGTTGAAGATCTTCACAGTAAGGGAGGTGGCCGATTTTGTCAGGGAGACGCTGGGCTGCCTGCCAACCACCGTCCACGCTGACTGCCCCCTGGAGGCCGTCAAACTGCAGTGCATTGCCAAGACGGTGGAAAGCCAGCTTTACATTAACCCAGGTAAAGACTCGTTCACACAAACAGATGCACAGTTATGTACACTTTGCTATGAATACATAATTAAAGCTTGTAACCAGACTGAAAACCCAAACATTTGTGGGCAAATAACCCAAATACAAAAAAAGCCTTGCATGCAGATTAGGAACACAGGAAAAATAAACAGAACAGCGGGAAACAAACAACTAGATTCATCCACAAAATGCATGCTTGCATCATGAGCAAACAGGCTATTAATCCATATTATACTGTTGTACACTCCTGCAGTGCAGTCATTTAAGAACACCTGGAGTGCACCTAACTCCATGTCATTAAATTGTTCTTAATAAAGGCTCTACGCCGAGCAAATTACCCCTTGTTTTATTTCGAGCATGCTCCCAATGGCTACATGTATCAAGAAAAACATCCCTCATGCAAATCAAATTATTCTTGTATCCCTTTTAGATACAATGATTTATAGTTAAGAAACATTGTGTGCAAAACAAGAGCTAATACAGCCACAGAAGATTAGTGTGTTTTTGCTGCTGCCCTTTGTTGTTTAGTTATATAACATTATGTATTTGATGTATGACAACTGTGTGTGTGTGTGTGTGTGTGTGTGTGTGTGTGTGTGTGTGTGTGTGGGTGTGGGTGTGGGTGTTTGTTTGTGTTTGTTTTGCAGAGTCACGTTGTATCCTGTTGCCGGTGGTGCTCCGGGTCCTTCAGGCACACATGCAGGAGCAGAGAGACCTGGTCATGTGTGCTCGCATTCTCACCAGCATGCTGTCCCTCATCAAGAAGGAGGAAAACGGCACAGCGGTGAGTATTACAGTGGTAACTGGTTGCCGTTATGCAACTGTTCTTCTAAGAAACAGTTTGACATTTTTGGAAATGCACTTAATCGCTTTCTTTCTGAGAGTTAGATGAGAAGATTGATACCCACACTCATGTCTGTATGGAAACGGGGAAACAGCTAGCCTTGGCCCTGGCAACAAAATCCCAAATCTTCCTACCAGCACCTCCTAAAGCTCGCTAATTAACTTTTTAATTAGTTTAATCAGCACCAAAACAACTTGTAAAAACAAGAAGCTTCTGCCAATAGAGCCTCCTAAATGTTACAGACTGTTATGTTATCAATATGCAACATTTTATGTTACCTGAACGCAACATTAGTGCCCGCCAACCAGCTTCGGATTTAGCATACAGACAGGTATCTTCATATCTGACCAACAATTACATCAACTAACAGCGTATATCCGAAATGTTGAACTGTTTCTTTAAGTGTCCCTGCATGCTCACTGCACTGGCTGTTGTTGAAATTCAGGTTGCTAAGTTAAAAGATCGGTCACTTCAGTCAGTTTAGAGTTAAAAAGGTTTCCCTTTGCTATTCTACAAGACCGTTCAAGGGAATTACCACCATAATAACTGGAAAATAACTTTAAAGGAAGGCAAAGCTAGAGGAATTAGTCCTACAGCAATTTCCTTGCCAATGCATTGCAATAGCAGATTGCTTTGTTGTGTGTCTATATGGTCAATTAGTCCTGGTAACAAGGGCATTGGCAGCCGTGCAGACCAGTAATGAGACCCATCAATTTAGCCACGGCAATTGTCGAAGTGGCAGTCACTTCGAGCTTGTGTGTGTGTGTGTGTGTGTGTGTGTGTGTGTGTGTGTGTGTGTATGTGTGCACGGGTTTGTCTGATTTGTGCGTGTGCGTGTGTGAAGCAGCTCGGTTCGCGCGGCTTGAACTGTTCGCTGCCAGAGGGCCAGCTAGTGGTAAAGGCGCCCAGTAGGACACACACACACACACACACACACACACACACACACACACACACACACACACATACAGACAATATACACACACACACGCACACAGACTGGCACCACATCTAAAGGGAAGTGACAGCAGTGGCAGCCAATGTGCCAGTCTGAAGCTCCTTCTCATTATCGCTCTGTCCAAGACCTGTCTGTCTTGTCAGGGCTTGAGACTAGAGGGAGATGCACACACACAAACACACACACACACACACACACACACACACACACACACACACACACACACACACACACACACACACACACACACACACACACACACACACACACACACACACACACACACACACACACACACACTCCAGTTTATCCTCCACTTTCTCTCAAGTTGCTTTTAATCTTGAATTGTCTATTTCTCCTTTGTATTCCACCTTCTTTTATTCTCCATACGCCTCGTCCTCTGTGAATTTAGAGTCTCAAAATGTTGCTCTTAGCCTTGAAACTTCTTATTAGTCCCCACACTTACTGGTTCAAGAGTCATTAAAACTAAGATAAAAGTAAGATTACTGGGTAAGTAATGCAGACTCTGAGCCAGAGTGACGTCAGCTGTCGATCATGGTTCAAGGTCGTACCGGCGGGAAACAAGCCAGTAGAATGCAAATTGGTTGAGAAAATTTAAAAGGAATCACACTGACATTTTAGATTCATGTTATGTCTTTCTTTTCTCATTTTTGTTAATAAAGTGAAAGTGATGCTATTACCTGTAATTCATGTGCAAGTGTTTTGTCCTTTGTGTAGGAGCCGGTGGTCTCAAAAGAGGTGGAACTAATTGTAGAAAGCCTGCTGGGAGTTTTACTGAGGACCATCCTGGAAATTAGCAACCGGCCCCAGCCTGCTGGACCTGCCATGAGACTACAGTTCCAGGATGTCACTGTATGTGTATTCTAGTGTGTGATAAATTGTTTTGGGACTTAACAAAAATGTGCAAGAGTAATTATAGATTTTAAATTGAGTTGCTGCTGTGGAGACCATGATTCCACTAACATTATTAACATTAATGGTAATAATTAAGATTTATGATACAACACGGCACAACAGGGGAGCGGTGAAGTGGATAATGAGATCATCATCATCATCATAATCCTCATCATCATAATCCTCATCATCATCATCATCATCATCATCATCATCATCATCATTGTGTGATGATGGAGACTAAAGGATGGGTGGAGGGTTATTCCACTTGTAATAGAGCGCTGCTAATGTTGCCAGTAGAGGTTAATAAAGGTCATACTGTAAATTCGATATAATAAAGTGCTTCCTTTCCTATTTCCTTTGCAAAAGCCCCATAGTCCAGTGAACTCTTAACTTCTTCTAATTTCTCCTCAGCATGGTTAACAAAATGGAGTTTGTTTTTGTTTGTTTTTAATGATTCACATCCAGTGTTTATAATGCTTCCTACGTGACTGCTTTCTTTATAAATGTTATAACCACCACAATAGTACAATTAACCTAGTAACTTAGGGCACCCCTGAAGATAATCCTGGCTGTAACACAACATTAAAACTAAACACTCTCTCTCTCTCTCTCTCTCTCTCCTCTCTCTCTCTCTCTCTCTCTCTCTCTCACTCTCTATCCTTCTCTCTCATTGTGTTTTATCCTGTCAGGGAGAGTTTGTGGCATGTTTGTTGGCCCTTCTGCGACAGATGAGCGACAGACACTACCAGCAGCTGCTGCAGGCATTCAGCAGCAAAGACAACCTGAGGGTAAGACCACCTCATCCATCTCTCTCTCTCTCTCTCTCTCTCTCTGTCTCTCTGTCTCTCTTTCTCTTTCTCACACTCTCACTCACTCTCTCACTCTCTCTCTGTTCAATTCAAAGAGCTTGATTGTCACAAACAAAAACATTTTGTTGGCAGATCAATAAATAATAGTCATGTATTTCCATATTACATATTAAATACAATATATGTAGCTACATTTATGCGTTTCCAATACAATACATTAATTTGCAATATATATAATTAAATACAACTACTCTATCATATTATGAGTGGTTGGTCAGGCTGTGGCAAATACATATTTAGCTGCTAGAGGAGCTGTTGTCCCTTCACCAAGGAGAACAGACAGTTTTGTAATTACAGTGTCACTCTATACCTGTCTGTCAGCTTCTCTTACTCTCTATACCGCTGATTGTGATTTGAAAGTGAACTAAAAATGAAATAAATAGATGGGTATCTGTCTTCCCTCTGCACTTCCATAATGCCAAGTTGCAAGCGAAACTAGCGAAACTGCTAGAAAGACTGGTGATATTTGTTCTATCTATCTATCTATCTATCTATCTATCTATCTATCTATCTATCTATCTATCTATCTATCTATCTATCTATCTATCTATCTATCTATCTATCTATCTATCTATCTATCTATCTATCTATCTATCTATCTATCTATCTATCTATCCTTTCTTCATACATTTATATTTTTCTTGCCACATTGCTTTAGATTTAGTCATTACTTGTATGTATTTGCGTATACATATTGGGTAGAGAGTAAGAAATGAATTGTTATGTTTATGTTGTTTTTTTGGATTTCATATTCTAATTTGTGTTTGTCTCTACAACATTTGTTATCCACCCTCTGCCTCGCTATCTTCCTCAGCCATTTTCTAAATAGTTTTCAGATTTTCAAAGTGACTTGCTCACTGCACTTACAGACATTTCTGAAGTGTATGTACACATAAGTATATGTTTTTATACTGTACACGTAGGTACTCGTGTCCTCTGTATGCTGAATTGCAAGGTCAACGGTGGCAGGTTACATAATGCAGAAAAAAAACACAGAGACGAGAAAGCCGAAGAAGCGAGACAGAGAAAATTAATGAGGTCACAAGTTCATTCCAGTGAGAAATATCAATTCACTAAATGTCAGAAAAAATAGAAATGTAACAGGCTCTTGTTAGCTTGACAGCACTTACTCGAAAAAAGCCAATTTTCAGACTTTAATTCTAGTACTTTTATCACAAGTATCCACATTAAGTGTGTGGAACAGAACATGCAACCAGTGAGCTTAGAGTTTCAGCACCATGGAGAGAGACATGAAATGCCTGCATTAGATTCACATCTTACAGCCCTACTAATCGTTGTGTATATATATATAGTATAAAAGTACATTTTAAGAAATACATTCATGCAGAAACAACTCTGTAAAATGTCTTCCAATGGATTTACAAAAGTAATGTCCATAACAAATCCCAAAATGCTATTCACCTGCGATTGCAGATATGTAAATTAAAGCTATGCAACAAAACACCAGTCAGAGTGATTGATAAGTCTTAGATACTAATTTAATATAATAAATACATTTTAAATCTTTCAGCATCATTGAGAGAGACACAGAGAAAGACTATTTGCAAAGATTAGGACCAAGTCTGTCTCAATTGATTTGAGTTTCCAGTGATAACAAGTCTCCTGTGTGTTTGTGTTATGTGTTCCAGGACTTTCTTCTTCAGATCTTCACAGTCTTCAGGATCCTAATCCGACCAGAAATGTTTCCTAAAGACTGGACCGTGATGCGATTGGTCACCAACAAGTAAGACCACACACAGGACTGTGCACACATAGACACAAATGACAGAAGATATAAAATAAGAAAAAGGATGGTGCAAACATGGAGTAGACCACCAGGCCATTTAACCAAACCAACATTCAAAAAATTAAAGTTTTTATCAGCGATGAATAAGTGAATTTTGATGCGACGCTCTCAGTTAAACCGTAAAAGGTCAATAAAGAGCTTGTACTTAGAAATTAAGTATTTCTAATGGAAAAGCACCAGTGTCTGTAGATGATAACACTGATTTGGCTCCTTTGCTGTCTTTTTTTCCCCCGTATTGTGTCTTATCACATCACCGCTGCACGATTGCTCTACAAATGGGCCATCTGAATAGCATGTCAGTTGTTGATGGTGATGCATTTTCCTCCAAGGTAACACAATGACCCTCTTTCTTTTGCTCTTTTAGCGTCATCATCACAACTGTCCTCTATCTTTCTGACGCTCTGAGGAAAAACTTCCTCAATGACAAGTTTGACTACAAGGTAAGGGAAATGTGTGTGTGGACCTGAACAATGCTACAGTGCTACAAAGCTGTCTGAGTATCAAACAGCCTCACTTCTAAAATGGGGCAGCTTTAGTGTACCGACACACACACACAACACACACACACACACACACACACACACACACACAGACATGAAGGTAGATACACATAAAAGTCATTAATTTATTTATTTTTGTACATGGTACTTTTCAAAACAAAAGCCTGCACAGAGACACAGACATTAATCAGAGTTAATGCCATTAGTCAGAAGCCTAAGGCAGTCAATAAAATTAGCTGAAGGTAAAAAACAAAACCCGAACAGCAATAAAAACAACACAAGAGATGAGTTAATTAAATTGTAAAAAGGCTTGTTTCTTCCTGTACTGTAATACTGTAGATGTCCCTGTCCGAGTTTAATTATTCACTGTGTTTAGATATTACTTTTTTTTAATTAACAGCTGTTGTTTCGGTAGTTTGTGCCACAAAATAATATCAAGAATCCATGGATACCAGTGGCAGATCATCTAGTTTTTTGCCTGAAATCTGGAAAACTTGAGTTGGAGGAAGAACTTTTTTGCTCAGCATTGACATGATGCTATTTTTTTGCTGTCATTTCCAGGTGTGGGACTCGTACTTCTACCTGTCTGTAATATTTATCAACCAGCCCTGTCTTCAGCTGGAATCCTTCTCTCCCTCCAAGAGGAAGAAGATACTGGAAAAGTAAGTTTGTTTGCAAATGCACTCTCACATGCACACGCTCGTTGTGCTTTTCTGCGTGTGTTGGGATGGCCTGTAATGAGCCATGTGCTCACTCAATAAGCCATCATATCCTTCTCCTGTTGTCTGTCACACACACACACACACACACACACACACACACACACACACACACACACACACATACACACACACACACACACACACACACACACACACACACACACACACACACACTATAAGTATACTGTAGGCCACATTTGGTATAATGAGTACATAACATGCTGCCAGCCTTGCTCAGTGTTTGCCTGCAGCATGCATACATGTCTAACCAAAATATTTCATCATGCAGGTATGGAGACATGAGGGTGATGATGGGCTGTGAGATCTTCAGCATGTGGCAGAATTTAGGTAAGATGATAAATCTCAATGCACATGGTTCACATGGACTTTTATTTCTAAATGTACTCCTTAAACCCACAATAGACTGTTTTAAAGGGACTCGTAGTATTTTTTTTATTCTCTGAGTGGGGCTGCACATAAAGTACCGTACAGGAAACTGCCTTTCTTCCATTCCAGCTGTAAGTATCTCTTACAGCCTCGTAAATATCTACGTATTTACTGCTCTTTTGATGCAAAAGTATGTGTGACGCACTAAAATCAGGGAAAGTAAAGGCAAATTCATTCTCTAGTATTTCTTTGTACTTGTGCTGAAGGAGAACTAAAAAAAAACTCTCAGCTTTTTTTCCCCCATGTAACTATTTGTTACCATGGCAACCAGCTGGATGCCTCACTGTGCTTTGTGTGTATGCTTTTGTTCTTGAGTCTGTGATGGACCTATACAATTTTGTGTTTTTATGATAATTTCTAGTGTTTTTATGTGTATTCAAGTGTATTTTTGCCCAGTTTAAAAAATTTTGAAGTCACTTTATTTTTGTTTTTGTTTTATTTGATGTCAATATAAATGGCAAAGTCTCCCCACTAACAATTTGTTTTATTTTATGTAGTTTATTAAAAAGCTGCATCAATTTGGTTAGAGTGCACTGCACTCAAACCAAATAATCAGAGCCTTTATTGCCGTTGAAATTTTTGAGGAAAATGAAGCTTTCCAGAATTTGCCAAATTGTCTCTGACATAAACAATACGCTGTATTCGGGGATGAAGTGAGAGCCTAACCTCTATCTTGACCTCCAGGGGAGCATAAGCTGAACTTCATCCCCGCCATGATTGGTCCATTCCTGGAGGTGACGCTGGTGCCTCAGCCTGATCTGAGGAATGTCATGATCCCCATCTTCCATGACATGATGGACTGGGAGCAGAGACGCAGTGGCAATTTCAAACAGGTACACAGCTGCTAGAAATAGACCAACTTGACTGAAACTCATGTCAAATTACGAGTTTAACCCTCAAAGGTCCAGTGTGTAATATTTAGGAAGATCTATTGACAGAAATTGAGTATTGAGTAGTCATTTTTATTTCTCATTTTCATCCTAAAATTATCAAAATTGCTAATTTTAGAGGTTAAGGTATGTTACAATGCAGCCAAGTCACCAAGCTACTTAGTTAGCAACTGCAGTAATGTTAGCTGCCAAGCCTTTGGTTAGCTATAAAGTCATTTGATCATAATAGCAGATACAATTTCACATGTAATTTTAAATGTATGTTCTGAGGTAAAAATATAGATAAGAAAAAAGGTTAAATTTGTAAAATTGTCTTGCCAGGAAAGATAATGTAGGTGAGTGGTGATGTGAATGACGGTTGAGATGTTGTCGACAATCAATACTGTATATACCTGACAAAAGTACAAGGGGGGGAGGAGTAAGGTAAGGTAAGGGGGAAGGAATCCATTTTGACCTTTTTCATGGATACAAGATTAAGACATAAAAGTGAAAACATGCCTTTATTTTGACACGTGACTGACTCTGACATGACGTGGAGTGTTTTTACTAACACAGTTTTAAGCTGTTGTTGATTTTGCTCTTTCTCCCAGTCATTTTGATCAATATCGTTTGAAGTGGCAACCCCGCTGAGATTTAAATGCTTTATTTCCCTCGCAGGTGGAGGCCAAGCTGATCGACAAGCTGGACAGCCTGATGTCCGACGGCAAAGGCGATGAGACATACAGGGAGCTCTTCAATAGCATGTGAGTTAGAGAAAGGAACGGCAGTAGAAAGAAAGAGAAAATATGTGGATGAGGGGCAGACTGTAACTACTTATATTCGTTTCATTAGCTTGGATTTTAAAAGAAAAGGGAGCTCAACTAGCTTAACAGTGAAATTGCAATAAAAGGCATAAAGAAAGAGACCAGTTCAGGATTCCAGGACACGTTCTTTGAAAGTGAAAATAGCCGTTTATTGAGTCTAATGACCTTAGATGATGCAGCCCACACAAGACTTTATCAGGTGAATGTTGTTTTCCTCAGTAAATCGCTGCTTTATCTGCGTTTGCAAGTACTCCGCTTATGAAAATGAGCTTTTAACCAAGAAAAACCGAAGAGCACCGATAAAAGCGTTAATGCTCAGAGAAGGCTCCTTTTACCTGAATCAAAACAAAACAATGAAATGTGTTAAAGAATGTGCTGCTAATTAACAAACCGGTCATTATTATAAAAGAATAAGCCAGTGGGTAGTTCTTTATTTGAGTTTATATTGAGCAGATAAAATAATGAGAGGTAAGTGATCAGTATTCAGCTTCAGTCACCTTCATCCTCACTCATGCCTCCTCTGTGGCCAGTCCTTGTCCTTGTCTCTCCAGGTTTGTTTGCCCCTGCATGCCTTAGTGTATGTGCTCGCGCCGATGTGTGTGTGTGTGTGTTAGTGTGTGTGCGTATCCCTGCTTCTTTCTGTGCCTGTTCATATTTTTATGTCGCACTTCACAAATGAGTCCTATATTTCAACATAGCTTCCAAAAACTTGATTGAATTAATGAAGTCTTTCTTCTGATTCGCATACATACTGTATGTCTCGTTTACTATCACGTAGATGTGAATCGGGAGTGTGATCTTGTTAAGTATTTTATCAATATGCATCTACTGTAATTGTCCCTTTGTCTTTCATAGTCAATCATTTTCTTTCCCGCCATTTTTATATGTGAAACATTACAGAATACAGTGTAACATCACTGCGTATTATAAAAAATGAATCTATATTGTGCTATAATATAAGTATCAATTAGGAAACATCATTATTATTAAACTTGCAATATTTGATGGCAGACTTAGTTTTTTGCTTATGATTATGATTTTAGCCTACTTTTATATTTTCTTGCTTAATCAATTTATTGTTTTGATTTAGTTTCTTAATTTATTTTTCTCCTACTAACTCCACTAACCCCTAAACTAACCCTGTGTGAGTGTGTGCTGATATTAATCGTATTAATTTATTCCGCCTATGCTTCCCGCCTGGAGTAGAATTCCTCTGTTTGGTCCGTACCCTAGGTAAGACGCTCTCCTCTTTGTTCTCTCTGTGTCGTCTGTGTGAGGGGGAACAGAGGCAAGGGTTGACGTTGGGAAAATAACTTGAGCCCAATGCTTACGGCAATATTTTGGCTGTGATGTGTTTATCCTTTCAAGTCCAGTCGAGATAACCAATCAATTCTAAAACATCTATTTAGGCCTGCTATTGTGATTTTTTGGGGTACTTTATTTTGTTAACTCTCACAGGCTGGCCAACAAGCATAGGTGACATTGGTGTGACTGGGATTGATTTGCTCTTTGCTTCTCCTCCTTTTCTTTTGCAGTAATTTCTTCTTTCTTTCCCCTCTTCCCCGTCACATTTACTTTCCTATTTGATCTTTTACCCTTTGTCTCTTTCGGTTTTTACAACTCTCCGTCTTGTCCTCCAGCCTGCTGAAGAAGATTGAGAGAGAGACCTGGCGAGAGAGTGGGATCTCTCTGATCGCTACCGTCACTCGCTTAATGGAGAGATTGCTAGACTATAGGTAAGAGGGCACACACACATACACTCTCAAAAACAAGCATACATGCTTTATCAATTTCAGTTATGTTTGGAAATCTTTTTTTTTCGCCGCCACTTAGTCTTGTGATGTTTCTGTCGCAGGGATTGTATGAAGCTGGGAGAAGTGGATGGAAAAAAGATTGGATGTACTGTCAGTTTACTGGTGAGTAGCAGTTACCCCAAGATTCTGGGGGTTGGGCTGTTTAAAACTGCAGAAGCTTTTAGTATCACAAGTGACTGATTGCCAACTTCTTTTTAGCTGTTTTAAAAGGCTTTTACAAAACCAGATCCAGAGTGCTTTGACCTGATGAATCCTGGATGAATGAACGCTCATCAAAATGTTTACGTCAGTTGAAATGAAGAAATTATATTAGCTTAGTAAATGCAAAGCTACAACCAGCAACTAATTAGTCTATCATAAGAAAGGGGAAAGAGCTTGTCTGGCGCTGTGCAAAGGTAAAGAAATCTGCTCTCCAGCTTATTAATTATCAGCACATAACCCCCTACAAAAACCACAACTATGTTCTCACTGTTCATTGTTTTTACAATAAGCTTTAGAGGTTCTTCCAATACAGCCAAGCAAGCTGTTTGCATTTTTTATGCTAAACTAAGCTGACCTACTCCTGGCTGTAGTTTAATATTTAAGACACAGACAGAGAGTAGTATCATTATTATCTAACTCTTGGCAAGAAAAAGGGTATTCCCAGAGTATCAAACTATTCCTTCAATGTCTGCATAAACATAAAGACGTTTTAATTATGGTATTAAAGGTATAATATGTAATATTTTGCACTCTAAAAACACAGTAGAATCTATTACTTTTTTTATTTTATTAGTTTTCATCCCCTTGCTGATAAAGAATTATCCAAAAATTGAAATATGTTGTTAATTTCAGTTCAGGCTATTGTTTGTTGATTTATTGCATTTTTATAGTTGTTTATTGTGAAAGATACAGAATTAGGCTTTCTGAGGGTGTGAAAATATAAATATATGATTAAGACTTTTTAATTTCATCTTCTTCCCTTGTAGATATAACTCCAACAAATCAGTTTTTTTGTTTCATTTTATTCGTCTGTTGTTTCTATTGTCAGTCCTTCTGCCAACTAGGTTTTCCTTATGTAACTTCAGCCATCTGTAAGAGCACCTGGGTGTGTAGGCAGATGGATCAGAAGTCACTGTTGAAATATATTGTTATACCTCTGCCATAGAACAGTCACTTTTAAAAATGTGTCCTCATTTGCATCTCTATCTCTCTATAATTTTCATAACCCCCCCCCCTCTCTCTCGTGATTCTTTTTGTCCTCATTCATCACTGAACCACCCACTGCTCCTGTCAGAACTTCTACAAAACTGAGCTGAACAAAGAGGAGATGTACATCCGCTACATTCACAAACTGTACGACCTGCACCTGAAAGCACAAAACTACACAGGTATGCCAAAAGTAATGACCCATAACATACAGTATGTGTGAGTGTGGGGAGTATAGGGAGCTGCGTTGTTAAACATGTATGTAATCTCCTAACTTGTGTGTCACAGAGGCATCGTACACCCTGCTGCTGTATGATGAGTTATTGGAATGGTCAGACAGGCCACTGCGAGAGTTCCTCAACTACCCCATGCAGAGCGAGTGGCAAAGAAAAGAGTATCTGCATCTCACCATCGTCCAGAACTTCGACAGGGGGAAGGTGAGCTTGAACACACACATTTTTATCAGCTGGACAGAAACAAGAAAGAAAATGTTGGTATTAACAAGCAATTTATGTAAGGAAACATCATGACAAAATGCAAAGCTACTGCCTCCTGGATCTGATTTTGTGTGGGAAGAATTGTTCAAATAAGCTCAGTTTTTAATGATACCATCTCAGAGAAACACTGTCCATATGAGCTTCAACACCAGCAGGACTAAGTGGTTTCTTAACACTGCTGAATGCCTGTGAATGTGCCATGCCACTGTGGAGGCAGCAGCAGCAGCATGTTCCAATCTTACTGAGAGCCCTTTTTGCTACGCTAACACCCAGCAGGATGCCAGCTTCTCATGCATATTCTAAAATGTAACTCTAATTTATACCTGGCATTGAAAAAGAAACACAGCCATATTATAAATGCTTCGATTAGAATAAGCTTTAAAATAATTGATTAAGAATGAATACTCAGCTGAAATGCAGCAGCAGCAGCAGGATGGGAGATGAGAGAACTGGAGTTCCCCGCTTGTTTAGTTGAGCCGTGACGTCACTCAAATCCCTTCATAAGAGGAGCGTGGAGCAGAGCTACAAAAATACATGTCACTCGCAGTCAGACTTTTAATTTCTACCTCTTGTGAACAGTGACAGCGGCTCGAGGCCTCAGCACCTCCTCGGTTCAATCAGATGAATCGCTGCAGGCTGTAATTAAAGCGGGATCCGTATCGTCCCGCAATATCCTCCACTGTTCCTCGAAGAAATATTGTGGGAGACGATGACGCCAACACTGACGGGTGATGCTTTTAGGCCCCAGCTAAGAATGAACTGTGAGATTGGCACCTTAAACAGTTGATTCAGGGTGCAGCAGCATTTTTGAGAGGTAGTTTTCTGGCTCTGCTTTGTTTTTGTTACTCAGGAAGTACATTTCTTTCCTTCTTCCTCCCACCACTCGTCTCTACTAATTTCACCTCTTTATCCTAACTACCTTTGCCATCGTTCTGGGAAAAGTGGCATCATGGAAACCCTCCAAAAATTACACGCACACAAAAAAAACTTCAGCATCCCTGATGAAATAACATAGCTCTGTGGAATCATTAAAACTGCTCCCCTCGTTACTCATTGTCCAATTTCCTTTCACATTCACGAGCTATGCCATCTGCCAGTGCTGCTGCACAGGGATTAGAAGGCAGCAGGAAAGGAAAGCTTTTCATTTAATTAGCAAGATGGCTGGGTGCTGCGTGTACCTGCATGAAGAGGTTTTATTTTGACTCTTGATATTGTCGACTCACCAGTGACACCCAGTGGGGGGAATTCATCTTAGCAGCACCACTGCAGAGCAAGTGACTCTGTTTCATAAGTTCTCTGTTCATATATACTAGTTTAAATCAAACTGATGTGCATGAGTGTCCTGGATTTTGTTTTATTTTTTCTAACTTTCACTGTGTTTTGAAACAGTAAGCATGAGGATGAATAAGTGTGTGTTTTTATGTCTTCAGTGTTGGGAGAATGGCATCATCCTGTGCAGAGAACTGGCTGACCAATATGAGTCTTACTACGACTACAGGAATTTGAGCAAGATGAGGGTGAGTTGTCCACAATAAACAAGCCATAGAGACTCCTGAAGATTGTTAGTTGAAATCTTCCTCTAATTATGTGATGATGGGGTCATTCGGGAAAGAATATGCTAATTAATCTGCTTTTGAAATAACTATGCCTTTGTCAATGCACCAAATACCCTATTGTTTGCACACTGACTTGATTTTCATTTCCAGATGATGGAAGCATCTCTCTATGACAAGATCATGGACCAGCAAAGACTAGAACCTGAATTCTTCAGAGTGGGTTTCTATGGAAAGAAGTTCCCTTTCTTCTTACGGGTAAAGAAATCTCCATATTCCCCGTGTTATGAATTTTAAGTCGAACATAATAATACTTTTACCCTCTCCAAAGAAGAAAAAGACCTGCAGGAAGAATTAACTTTTCTTATATAAGACTCCTCCAGTGTGAGGTGACATTCAGCAAATCTTATTCAATGCCATTTAATGATGTAACAGGCCCCCGTCCTTGGAGTGTGCAGTCAAGGCGGCAGTTGCGGCGTGCGGCCACTAGATGTCAAGCTAACCACATGCTGTCCTCTGCTCTCCCCCTCTGCAGAATAAGGAGTTTGTGTGCCGCGGCCATGACTACGAGAGGCTGGAGGCTTTCCAGCAGCGGATGCTCAACGAGTTCCCCCACGCCATCGCCATGCAGCACGTCAACCAGCCAGACCAGACCATATACCAGGCAGATGCACAGTGTATCCTTGGCTATAGAATGAGGCACATGCAAAATTCACTTACACAGGCACGGATACGTGCATCCATGCTGACATGCTGAGCAGACACAGCCACATTTGTGGAAATGCATAAAAATATGACAGCAGCACGGTATCAAAACATATGTGCACACATACACAGAGGCTTACACACACACAGCGGACCTGTAATGAAGCACCATGCCTCCCTCTTTCCCCGCAATCTCCTTCTTGTCTCCATTGTCTTTATTGTCAAAGGCCCATTCAAAAGGAAAACGAACACATACTGTACTGCATATTGCGTGGAATATAAAAGAATATCATACAAGAAAGCACACTTTGATTATATAAACTGTATTATTAGTCACAAACACAAGGGCCAAATTTCAACTGGGCACTGACCATCGAACTTTTGGTTTTTCCTCCCCCACTTGTAAAGTTTCAATGGATTTACTCACAAAAATCTCTCTAAACAGCGTGCTCTCACTATAATCCAGATAAAAGAAGCTCTAAAATGATTGAAAATGTTGATACTACAGCCATCTAGGTTGCCTCAGGTATTTCAATAAGCCTTACAAGCAGCAATGAGTACCTCAAGGACTTTGGTTAGTTTAGTTAGTCATCTGCCAGCCTACATCCTGGCTGCCCTGACAGGAAAACAGCAGATACTACTTGCTGAAATCAAACATCAGTCAAAGATATGCTCTTTTTAGTAAAGTGACTCATCCAACATCTTATCAATCTATTTATTGCAGCAATACACATTTAGTTTGCCGGTGCGGCTCTGCTCATGTCATGCTCTGGAAGCTTGACACACATCCACAACATTTAACATTTAAACATGGACACATATAATAAAAAACAAAAACTTTCATGCCACCTATTGTGCACATATATGATCGGAGGAGACTATTAAATAATTTCCTGAGCGTGAAGTGCTGTGAGGCTCTCATACTTACCCTTACATAAATCCACTCACCAATTCACATGGAGAACTATGCTCTTCATCCCCATGTAGCGTATTCAAACTAAGCTGTACACCATGGGAGCCTTTTTAATAATGCACACTAATGTATGGGACAACTGTTGGCCTATATAGAGGGAGAGGGAGGTAAAAGCAAAGACTACGTTAAATAATGACACAAAGGCATTAGAAAAAAGCCAGATGGATGACATAGGGACATGTTTAACTTGTTCTTTTTGTCCTTTTCAGAGTTGTTTTCAATGTATGCATGTGATATATTTGCTTGTATGTGCTTCCCCTAATGCACATGACAGGAATTTCTGCTCTATAGCTCTAATCAAATGAGTCTTTCTCAGATTGCTTGCCCATCTGTGCATCCTTGTTGCATATGAATTTATGTACAGTAGTTGAATCACTTCCTGCTCATCTATCCTCCTCCACTGCTCAGTTCTAATGTTTCTGTGCTCTTCTTTCGTGATACCCTGATTGTGTGTCAGAATGACATGTGCGGTGTGTGTGTGTGTGTGTGTGTGTGGTTGTCCAATTATTGATTGTTGAGAAATAGAGAAATTGCTGCTTTTGGTGCCCTTTGTTTTCTTGATTTGTAGTATTGTGAGGCATCTGTGGTTTATTGTTTTGGTCCCCTATTAGCATTTCCTTGGCAGGGCATTGTTTCCATGTGGATGTAAAGAGAGTGTGTGGTCACCAGTTTGACTAATGCGATAAAATATATTACAGGAGATATGTATTTACCCCAAAAACACACATTTTATCATCCTGTAACCCCGTGTTTGTGTGTGTCCTCAAATTCTGTGTGAGCCTATCTGCTATTTCCCATGTACTTCGAGGTCACTGAAGAATTCCTGTCTGTTTTAGTCTGTAGTGATTTTCCCCTGTCACTCTCGCTCTCACTCTCTCTCTCTCTCTCTCTCTCTCTCTCTCTCTCTCTCTCTCTCTCTCTCTCTCTCTCTCTCTCTCTCGTGCTTTCCTTAACTTCCGGTGCTTCCAGACCTGCAGATCTATGCTGTAACCCCCATCCCAGAGAGTCAGGATGTGCTGCAGAGAGACGGAGTGCCTGACAACATCAAAAGCTTCTACAAGTTCAATCACATCTGGAGGTTCAGATATGACCGGCCCTTTCACAAGGGCACCAAAGACAAGGAGAATGAGTTCAAGGTACGGGGGAAAAGAAAAAAGACAAATTCACTAGAAAGACGGAAATAAACAGCTAGTGACACATGAAGCCCACACACGCTAAGAGGGCAATGTTATGCAGACATTTCTCTGCATTTATGTAATTTCATCCCTTCTTCACACGATGAACGTGTTGAATTTATGGAGATATTAAAATAAGCTTTTAAATAATGAACATACAGCCTACTTCATTTTGTGGAGTAGCTGAAAAATGTCAAAGGCTATTAAATAAATAGGGAAAAAACAATGAAGTTTTCTTTGAATATTTCAGAATTTAAAATTATACATTTATGATCATTAGCATTTTTTACTGCTGACCCATGTGAAACAGCTGTATTTTTCTCTGCACGCAGGTATTAGTGTGTGTGTGTCGCACATGTTTTATTCATGATGACACCTGTATCACTAATTATATACACTGCACACACTCTAAATACATACACACACCACACAGACCCTGATATTAGGCTCATAAATATTCAATATTAAGACATACAGACACACACGCTCCATGCTGTCATTCCATCTCTCTTCCATCAAAGCTATTTGGCCAAATTTAATCATGATATCGCATTTCCATCAGGCCTGGATGCCTCTGGCCCGGGAGTAGGAATAATATGTATGATTTTTGCATGATAATAAGAGTATGCAGCATAATAAAGTAGGAAATAAAGCTGTTTCTAAAATTTAACAAAAAAGTTTCTATCTGCAGGGAAATAATAGTTTGCAAAAAGGTCAAGACTTTTATTTTTGTACATTTTTCCTTTCAACTTCCTGCTCTTAAACTGTAATACATTTTTTTCAAAAAGTGTTCTGGTGGGTTTCTTGGCCTTAAAAAGCAGGAAATCAATAAAGGGCAGCAGGGTTGTGTAGTGAGTCGGAAGACCCTTCTTCAACTTGAGGACACAAGGATCGATACTGCATGTCAGCACTCATCTGCTCTGCTGGAGTGTCCTTGAGCAAGACACTGGGTTCTAAACTAAGCATAAGACAAATTAAGATGTATTGTATCAGCACTTTGATCCTCACCTGGCTGTTGAATGAGTCCAGCAGAAAACAAAATGTCTACATGGCAATCAGAAATATAATAACATAATGATGTTTCAGATATTCTTCCCAATCTTTTGGTTTTTAACTCAATACTTGCAAAACATATGACATTCTAATAATACATCCACATATGTACTTGTGATTAGTGCTAATGAACAGATGTAGGTGCTCCATTATAGTGTGAATATATCATGTTAATCACCTGAAGTGATTGCTAGAGTTTCCATAGTTTACGTGCTGTCAGAATGACCTTGTGGGATGTTGGCATATTGACAAGCACACTGGCAGACAGGATAAGTGATGGAACATAAACGACGATCCGAGATATAAGATATGACACCTGACCTACACCTACAAGTAGATGTTTGGCAGTAGGTGTACTCAACATGATTCCCTCCAGCTATGTGTCGGTAATTAAATCGTGTGTTGTCTGCCAGAGATACTGTGCATCAGGCATAAGTAGCTATAGATTTTTAAAAAAAAGTATGATTAGCAGTCAGCTAACAATGACGCGTGTATCATGTGTTTATGCAGAGCCTTTGGGTGGAGAGGACAACCCTGACTCTGGTCCAGAGTCTTCCAGGCATCTCCCGCTGGTTTGAAGTGGACAAGAGAGAGCTGGTGAGTGTGATCTCTGAAGAAATAACTGCAGCACACAGTCATGTCACACAAGGAACACTGTAATAATACACTTTTATTTTGCAGGTTGCAGTTTAAAGTACTCCCAGCCGATAGCAAAGTATTGATCCAAGTCATTACATTGAACAACAGTAATGTCCTAGGTCATGAGTTTGGGGCTATTGGACACATTTAATTTCTTCTGTTGGATGGATTTGATGTCATGCTAAAAATCGAATTGCTTTGCTTTGATTACCAACATGTCCAATTTTGTCGAATGGATTTTTGTAGTGGGAAATATTTACCAATACCTACTCTCTTTCGTCTTTAGCCTGGAATCACTATCATATAACATATCCATTGCTACACTGTTACACGTAAATCCCCTCAAAAGCTTTCCGTCTTGGATCTTCTCATTCAGATCTCTGAGGAGTGGGAGGATTTTAAATACTGTTTTGTCCAGCATATGCAAAACATAACACATTGTCTCTGTTAGTCTAAGCGTGTATCTTAGCGTATAGCTGTTGAACATGTGTGAAATTATGGATTGTAGACCCAGTGTTATTCTATGATGGTTATGCAGTGCAATATATATAAAATACAGAACTTGCAAAAGCTCTATTAACAGGATGATTAAGCTTTGTGTGAGACAGAAGAAGAAAAGAGAAAAAGAAACGTAGGTTGAAAGGAAGAACATGTTCTTAAAAGTGACCATATACTTATTTTTATGTATATTATGAATGACTCAAACTTCTATGTTTATGTGAAAGGTGTTGCTGGTAGTGATAAAACCAGAGATAATTATCATTCAACAAAAAATTTCCCATCAGCTTTGTGGAACATTTTAACATCTTTCAGCTTGTTGTTTTGGTTTTACTCTTTTGGTACAGTTGCACTGTACTTATCAGTGTTGACTTTTCAGTGAAAAAGGGTCTAAAAATCCATCGGAATCGTTATTTCCATTGTGAGAAATGTAGACAAATGCACACATAATATTTCTTTGAAAGATTAACTCGGAAATGTCCAATAGGAAAAGCTTTCAGAGTCGATACACAAAATTTAGGAATGAAAGGGCACTCGAGAAACTTTGTAGTGAACTTCTACTGAACCTTCTACAAAAAAACCTGTGAGAGACACATAAAAAAAGAATGGTCAAAATCAAAGCGTATCCGAGATTTTTGTTCTAAAAAACACCACACACTACTACCTTGTAATGCATACTTTCTTTTATGAATCATCAGGGTTGTTTTCTTCTAGCTTTTCGGACTTTAAAAAGCACCCTATAGAGCTAAAGAAGAAGCGGCCCCTTGAAACTCTTAATATTTCTCTCACCTCCCCTCTCGCAGGTGGAGGTAAGCCCACTGGAGAACGCCATCGAGGTGATCGAGAACAAGAACTTACAACTACGCACATTGATCACCCAGTGTCAGAGCCGGCAGATGCAGAACATCAACCCCCTCACCATGTGCCTCAACGGGGTCATCGACGCCGCTGTCAACGGGGGGCTGGCCCGCTACCAAGAGGTATGGATGGATAGATGTAGGATAAGGTTGGAGGGTTTTAGAGACCGTGGCTTTGGTGAGGAGCGATGACTTATGGATTGCCTAACGATGCATGAAGGTGGGTTTTAGCGGAGAGATGTATTATGGACAAGAGAGCGTGTTGCGAAGGGTGGAGCGGATGAACAGATGGATGGATGGATGGATGGATGCACGAATGGCTGGGTGAAGGTTTGACTGATATGGATGGATGGGATGGATAGATGAGCGAAGAGGGGCTGGAAGCAGGGGGAAAATTAGATGGAAGGGTGACGCAGGAATGGGTGGATCGATGGGGGGGTGTGGTCAATGAATGAATGGATGGATGTGCGGAGAAAGAGGGGTCAGGTCAAAAAATGGCAGATATAAGCATGTGAGGAAGGATTATAGAGAGAGATGGATGGCTAATAATAGCTGAATGAATGAGATGGGAGTGTTTATGCAGCTGCTATATTATACGCTGAAGTGCTAGCAGACAGACGCACAGATTGGTAGAGAAAGACTGAAATATGGTCAATCCCACTGCCAAACATTTAGCATCTACTGCTTCTCCAAAAACTCCTCTGTGGCAGACAATTGCAGGATAACAGCACAGCACAATGTCTTAACCAGGAAGAGCACATTTGAAGAGGAAGACGTCAACAAATCTACTCAAGAAAATTGTTTTTTTACCCTCAACAAACTGAGTGGACTCAGTGACTTGCTCTGTGTCGCATAGCAACCACCCTTTTCCACTTGGAGCATGTTTGTGGGGGTGCATGTTCATGTTTGTGAGTGTGTGTGTGTGTGTGTGTGTGTGGGTTTGGGCGGGTGTATAATACTGTATGTGTGTGTTTCTGAGTGCATATTGGGTTTGTTCAGAAGAGTGTGTCTCCGTGTAGATTTAGCCTATTAAGGTTTGTAGGATACTTGATAAAGCCACAAAGGCAAGGATTGCTGAAGTGCTTCCCACCCTTACTGCCATTATTTTGTTTAAAAATTATAGCATATGGAAGGATTTTCAGCTTCCAATGTAGTTATACAGCAGCCCTTTACCTTTATACACCGTTGGCAGAGTTATGTATGTGTTTCTTAGTATAGAAATGTACAAATGGCGTGTTTCTGGGTACAAAATGACCACCAACTTCCTTCTACCTTTTATAATATTTATTTTCACACCATACGAAATAGAAAATTTCAATTTCAATTATTTTGCACAAGGTGGACACAGATGGGGCAGCTCCTGCAGCAAACATGCTGCCGCTGGTATCGACACTCATTGTTCTCTGCAGAATATCGCGCGCAGCACCCCGTGGAATGCGCCATAAATCGATTAATTTCCCCACGTAATGCCGATTGACAGCTGTGGAGGTTTGCTCAGCTACAAATGAAGTAGAAATTGTCATTATTAATATTCAGATTTATTGCTTTAGTTTGAGCTGAAACCCTCGAGGGGGAATGCTGTCTGATTTATTTCCCCTCCCCTCAGTGTTCCATCTCTAATTGGACTTTTCTAATGATTAACTGAGCCACTCCACGGCAAGGCCTCACTCCCTGCAGCCCAACGAGGAATTTCCATCATTCGTAGAAGATTATTGATTATTTTTTTTTGCTGCCTTTTCCGGCAGTCCTTGGTTGGAATTTCCTGCTGAAGGCAGCACTTTAGAATTACTACCTTGGCACTGTTGCATATGTACTTTTATAGTACATCGACTATAAAGAGCATAATAACGTTTATGCAATAAAATATGTTTCATTTCTTCTACATCTGTGTCGCATGGTTTGATAATAGAGTAACGTGATATCACGTACAATGCATACTAATATATGCCATCTTGGTAGGGAGAATAATATTCCTTGTTGTCTTGTGGGTTCATAGTCAAAAAGACAAGCCACAGTCGCATTCATTGATAAGGACGTGTGTGTGTGACATGTCTGAAGCAGCATTGAGCATCTTTTCTCTTTAACTGTCATCCGGCTCTGTCTCTTTGGAGATAAACAGCTGTGTCCTTGGGAGAGGAACCGTGCTGATCTTTTTTGTGAACTTCCCCTTTACCTTTCAGTCCCCTTCTTCTGTGCGCGCGTTTCCCTCTGTGGCAGATTTGAATGCAGATTATGAGCCGGGTCTTTTCATCGTCTCGTCGTCTCTCCGCTTTGTGTACTCTGATGCAGATTGAAAAGGATTTACCATAATCTGTAGACACATCACAAGTGCTGATGGCATTGTAAACAGTGAGGAACTGGCGTTTTAATGTATGGATGGGACAGAAATGTTTATCGTCATTCAAAGCAGACCAGGGCATTTTTCATCTTATCTGTTTCTCCTTTGAGTCACATTTTTTTTAAGAAAATGTCTGGGAGAGTAAACAGAAAATGGAGTCTTAGAGCCAGAATCAAGAAGTTTGATGTTTCTGAAGAGTCATGATCTATAAAAGGAAGCAGTGACATCAAATCGGTCCTTTGATTCCACTAACATCCATTTGGCATTGGAGTGTTTTTCTTTCTCTATTTTTAGCCAATGTGTACTTTTATTCTGGTCCCTGAAGTCGATATTAATATCACAACACAGAAACGAGGAGTATTATACTCCATTTGAGTTGGATGTTAGTTTACTCTGTTTGGCCATTTGCTCAGTTTGTTCATGAATGTTTTTTTAAGGATTCAACAAAAACGTGTGGAAGCTAATTCACTGTGTCAGCCCAGCGGGGATTCAGGTAGCTCTGCAGTGCAGAAAGCCTCCTGCTTCAGCTCCCGGTGTGTGCATAACAGATGTTCTGCATTTTGTTGCCACACAGGCCTTTTTCGTGAAGGACTACATTATGAATCACCCCGAGGACGGCGAGAAGATCGGGCGACTGAGAGAACTCATGTTTGAACAGGTTTGTAATAAGAGATAAAAAGAAAAAAGCATGTGATTGTCCATTTACTCGCTTGTTCTGGAGCTTTCGCAATCTGCAGAGGAAGGATGGGAGGAAGCTGGATGCTGTTAAAAGCACTCGAACAAGCGAGAAGGTGGAGCTTGAGTTTCATGACAGAGCCAGACTGATACTGGATTTTTGAGGCCACTACCTGTGTCGCTGATATATACGCTGATACTGACATATGCGATAAGCTAATGTCAGCTAATTTATTGACCTAGGTAATTTATTAGTTCAGATTTTGTACATCTATCAGGCGAGATTTTGCTGATCTAACCTGTATTATTTCCAGATATTTCATTTTTCTCACTGGAGTTATAGTTAGTATTAGTAGTAGTAAATATTGCAAACAACGGAGATGTTAGCCAGCTCTTGTTTTGCAGGCGCACATCTTGGAGTACGGCCTGGCTGTGCATGAGAAATTCGTTCCCCAGGACATGAGGCCTCTCCACAAGAAGCTAGTGGACCAGTTTCATCTAATGAAATCCAGTCTTGGCATACAGGTAAGCCGGACTTCCAAGTGAAGGATCCCTTTAGTCCTTCGAGGAGAAAGCCACCCACTCATTAAACACACTTCCTTTATCTGCATTTTGTGTATTTTATTTTACATACCTCACGCTGACACGAAGAAGCGTTTAATCATGTGCACATCCTTTTCTCCAATTTTAACACCCTAGGAGTTTCCGGCTTATGTGCGCGCAAGCCCTGTGCACTTCACCAATGGGAGCCCGCGAACATGCAGGAACTCTGTGCCCAACATCATTAGCCCAGACGGTGGCAGAGGGGTTGCCAGGCGGAGGTGACGATCCCTTTTGTCTAAAGTTTATGTCTGTTGTTTTTAGTATGATGATGATGATGATATATCTACATCTTTCTTTTGTCTTTATTATTATTATTATTATAATAATCTATATTAATGTTTGAAATTTATGAACCACCCTAATGCTCTTTTATCTTACTGTTACATTTCTGCTTCACATTGTCTCACCTTTCTTCGCTTTCTCTTGATGTGTTGTCCTCCACTGCAGACATTTCTCTTCATCTTACGCCCCTTTCTTTTTTACTTTTTTGTGTCCCCACCTTACCTCAAACACCAAGCTCTGTGCCTTTGCTCTCTTCTTCCTTCAGTTCTTTACCGGTGTGGCTCCATCTGGGCATACAATAGGTGGAGGAAGGGGGGTGGCTGGCTGGCACCCACAGGGATATGTCCGTGTGGCTGCTGCCAGGCCAGCAGGCAGACTGTCTGTATGTCTGAGCGTGCGTGTGTATGCGTGTGTGTTTTGATGTGTTCAGTGACCCTGCCACTCTGTCTACCTGCGACATTCTGCCTCCACAGTCTGATCCCAGGAGGCACAGCCACACAGAAAGATACAGACACACACATTACCTCCCATCTCCCAGTGACATTTTGCGTTTTACTTATTGAGTTTTGATTTCTTTTTTGTACTCTGTTTGGCAACACAAAACCAGGTTACATCTATTATTTAATCTTTTTTTTGGTAAAGACTTCTGCTTTAACCTTCCTTTGAAAATCCCATTGAGTTTGTGCTCTAACCTTTATTTTTTGGCAGACAAGTGCTTGATGAAATGCTGTGATTGCTGCATTGATTATCTTCTTATAATCTGACATTTTCTATTTCTGTTTGTGTTTTTTCCTCCATGCCTTTATGTTTGTCTGCCTCATGCTGAATTTTCGGTGAGTGAAAGCTAATGAAACAAAATACCATAATCTGTCTCTCTTTACCAAAAGCCACTGTGACCTTCTCAATCTGTGTTCTCCTCACCCTCAGACCCCTCAGCTACCCTGCGGTGAACCGCTACTCCTCGTCCTCTCTGTCGTCTCAGGCATCCAATGAAGTCAGTAATATCACAGGGCAGTCCGAGAGTTCGGATGAAGTCTTCAACATGCAGGTAATCTCTCCCTCTCTCTCTCTCTCTCTTTCTCTCTCTCTCTCATACGCACATACCTCTTCTGCCTTCCCACACAGCCACACTCAATATGCTCATTGCCTTCCATACAGATTTCCCTTGCAATACGTTTTAATCCCCCTCACTCCTTGCCACCCTCATTTCTCCTCTCCTCTGACCCTTTCTCTTTCTACTCCTCTCTGCTTGTTCAGAGCTTTGTCTGGCCAAGGAAATTGTCATGATTATATCAAAAAAGGACACTGTGCTTTGTGTGCTCCGTCCAGGGAGCTTGCTGGAGTTGGGCAGTAATCTAAACTAGATTTGGCCAATTCAGAAAGCTGCCGACGACTCCTGGCAAGCTGTCTGGCGCACCTGGCGGGCCTGGAATAAAAGGAAGCATAGACGAAATGTTGACACGGATCTCACTGAACCTATTACAATATTGTTTTTGACGTCTTAACTTATATTCTATAGATCAAGTACAATTCACTGGTGAGTGGTGAGATGAAGTATTATTATAGAACATTTCAATTCACAAAGTGCATTAAGCCTTTAACCTCCACCTTCCTAGAGACACATGTTTAAGGTTACAGTTGCAGTTGTTGTTTGTGATGGATTGTGCATGAATTTATTTGAACAAGAGTGTATTTTTTTTCTTTTTTGTTGTTTCCGTGTATTTGATAAATTATCAAGGCCTCACAGACAGGGAAAGTCCCCCATAAAGGAAAAAAGGGGACGCTATGTGGGCTAGACAAAATATAAACAAGATAAAATGCAAGATATTAAGTGTTAATTAGTGTGCTTTAAAAGGCTGTTTCCCCCTGTTTCCAGACTTTATGCTAAACTAAGCTAACAGGCTTCAGGCTGTTAATATTTACCATACAGTCTCACCTCTGGCAAATATAATGTGATAATAATAGTTTTTGTAATAATAGTCGAATTTTTGCATTTTGAGATTGCTCTCAGTTATCTTTAATCATCATTTACCTGTGGAATAAAGGAACAGCAACACGTGTAGTTCCATGGTAGTTAAACCCACCTTAGAGGTAATCTCTGACACTAAGTTACACTGAGCTTCTCTGTTTTTTTGTTTTTTTTTATGACACCAGGAAAATGCATCCATTCCATGGTCACATAAAAATTCTACACATAGCGGCTTAAAGTTAAGTTGGAAATATTTCTGGTAATTAATGTTTATAATGTTCTAGTTCATGATAATAATTTGTTTGCTGTTGTTGTTGTCATCCCACCTACAGCCCAGTCCGTCTACCTCAAGCCTCAGCTCCAACCATTCTGCCTCGCCCAATGTCACCAGCTCAGCCCCCTCCAGTGCCAGAGGTGAGACTGGCACTCATTTTACAACGTTATACGCTATAGACTTTTAGTTGCTATTTCAATCCAGAGTGACTCGCACGGAGGAAGCTGACAGAGGTTCAGCTGGACACACCGAACACAGGGAATGAACCTTTGACCTTTCAGTGACACAATGTTCTCTCAAATCACCGCAGCGTCCTGTCTGGTGAGGTTAGCGAGGTTAGACGACAGCTAGGGATACACACAGGAGAGGCAGATGAGGTAAAAAGAGAGAGGGGGGAGAGAACAATGAGGAGAGAGGGTCGAGACTGAAAAATAAAAAGAATACAAAATGAGCTGAGATGAAAAATGAAATGGGCTGAGACGTGGAGACAAATGCTGCTGAAAGAAACATGGAGCCAGTGAAAATGCAAGACAGAGCAAGGGAGAGTAAGAAATGATTACGGCTCTATGGAGTATCCCTCTTGGACCTCAATACAATCTCCAGTCCAGCCCGGGCCATCCAACCCTCCTCCTCTACAGTGTAGAGTGTGAATATCTAATGCCTTTCCTGTCTGCCCTCTTATCTCGCTGTGTTCAAATGTGCAAACGTGTTCCTGCCTGATCGACATCATAAAAAGTAAGAATATATGAAGACGTTTATGGAAGCGCATACACTCCCCTTTGGCGAGCCGCTGGCAGCGGGCGGCGCCCTTATAAAACTGGCCTCTGTCTACCCATAAAGCCCTGGAGAGAATTATTGCTAGTGTGTTATCTGAATGAGAGCCAGCGATGGGTATCTCATACTCATATGATAGCCTTCCAAGTGGTATCACATTCGCTAATGGATCGAGATCTACACAGTAGCTAACATCAGATGAGGGGAAGTGCTGTGAAAATGGTGGGAGAGAGTATTTGCGTGTGTGTGTGTGTGTGTGTGTGTGTGTGTGTGTGTGTGTGGGCTTATCTCAGTGCATATGTTATATATGTTTCTGTGTCAAGGTTTAGCATGTGTCTGTTGTGTTTGTCCAGTATAACTGAGGAGGTGAGGAGGAGGGGGTGTGTGTGTGTGTGTGTGTGTCTGTGTGTGAGAAGGGGGTGCAGGCCATTTATCATGTTGTGGAGCCAGTGAGGCTGAAAGAATGGTCGAGAGGCTAGGAGGGAGAAAGAGAGATTGGCCTTTCCTGATTGCCAGTATTTGTGGGTAATAGTCTAACACCTTGCTGCTATTTGGTCCCTTATGTGTTGGACATGCTCTTCTGTTTGTGTGTATGGTGTGTGTGTGTGTGTTACTGCTCTAATATCTCATACCATCCATTCCAGGTTCGCCTCAGATGGCAGAGAAACACAAGCATTCCAGAGAAAATGCCTGCCTGTCTCCACGAGAGAGACCAGTCAGCGCCATCTTCCCCAACCCCCTAGACCCTGCACAGGTTAACACACACACACATATTCTTCTACACACACACTAAGGTGCAGGCTGTAGAATCTGAATAAATAGTAGCGTATGGCCTCGCAAAGAAAAACAGAAAAAATGGAAAGACAAATAAGCTTTTGACTTTTTAGTGACAGAACAATGAGGAAATGTGCCTGCTCGTTTGAGAATGTGCTCCTGCTCTTACATTAATAGTTCTATATTTGGTTTAATGCAAAACACAAGAAACAAATGAAGACATTTGCACCAAGGGACTGATTATACACTGTACTTATAAAAAGTTAAGTCAGCAATAGACTAGAGTAGAATCAGCAGCCGGGCAGACTGAAGAACAGTCCCCCCCCACCTCCGACCCCCACACACTGATTGTTAACCCTGACTGTGGACAAGGGTTGTGCAATAATGGGAATTTTTAATGGCACTGTGTAATACTTCATGATGTCGAGGTAATATTAACAACGACTTAATGCTACCATGACAACTTGCGCTCTTTAGGCAGTACATCATTTTGCTCTCTGTTTTCTATTCTCATTTTCTCATTTTAACTTTTTGCATTTTTAATGTCTAAAACGGTCTTAAAATTGTGTGTAAGTGTCTGCGCTATGGTCTAATGTTGCACCATGGAGACTGGCAAACAAGAAGCACACACCGTAACTGTGCATCTAAATTGTTTTATGAGATGGAAAAGTGGACAAAAAAATCTAATTTACCAACTAAAATTAAAATGTTATTGTCCCATGTGTGGCATCATGTAGCTTATTAGCATACCAAAAGAACCACAATAGAGTTGTGAAGTGGGAGGAGCACCACCGGTTAATGTGGTAAAAGGCCTGTTCATCTTCTCCGTAGACAATTGGAGGTGACTCACAGTTGAAGCAATTACACTGCTTTGATGGGCATGAAACGCTCCCTGTTGAATCATCAGTACAGAAGATGCACAGCTGCATTAGAAAATATCTTTTTCTATGATTCTGTGTTTAAGGTACAACAGGTACAGGTAGGTGTGTGTATAAAAGCTTTAGGGTAGAGGTTAACCGTGTCTCCCAAGGTGCAATTTGACAAGAAAACATCCAATCACCAGGCTTAACATTCTGTTACGTAAGCTAAAGATTACTGTGTTGATAATACATTTAGCAACTATTGTTTCCAACTGTGATAAAGATGTGTCATGAATACACTAGAGCTCTTCTTGTCCATAGCAAACAGACCCCAGGGCTCATGGTTATGTTCTAATTAGAGCCATAGATGCCAAACTGAGGGACAAAACATGATTTGTTGAAATAATGAAAACAGGTTTGTAACACTACCCAGGATGGTTCTGTGTTTCTATGTTAAGTAACACTGAGGATATCATTAAGGAAAGCACTCTATACTGTATCCAGATGGACATGCTGTTTTCTTTTGAGTTGGGTGATGGAAGAGGAACACTCGTTTCTCTTACAGATGGTTGCTTTTTCGTCTGTCGCGTTCACTTGGCTCCACCTGTCTTACAAGTGTGTGCTTTCGAATAAGACAAAATAAATATATTACAGGCATGTTTGTCCAATACTGCAGCTGTCCATAAGGTGCATGCTGGGGCAGAAAACAAGGTCGCCTTTTTATTTTACAGCATATCTCAGTGGATGACTTCTGTCCTCCCGAGCAAGAGCACACACCACAAGGCCTTTTGTAGCTGAGAATTGCACTTTTTCAAGAGCAACTGATGTTACGGATATTTTATTAAAGTCAGACAACCGAACTTTGCCTTTTTTCTGCCAAAAAAATAAATAAAAACCCAAGTACAGCAAACTAATGTTACTACAAGAACAAGAGCCAACAAGAACAACATGATATTGCAGTTTCCCCTCTCGCTGAAGGGCAGCACGTAACGCAATCACGCACACTCCATCTTCAGTGACAAAGCTACTGTAACAGAAAAATAATGTGTTTATTTTTGAAGACACTTTCATCTCTCACAGTCAGTGCTGATGCTACCGGCACAGTTCACCTGGTTTTCTCGCCCTGTTTATGTTGAATCAAGAGAATCGTCTACAGATGAATAGATATTGGAAGGCCTGATAATTATTTCCAACCTGACAGCAGTGGAGGACTAGCTATTAGCTGCTAATGGAGTATTGATTATTAGAAACATTGATCACTGGTATCATTCACTGTAATTAGAGCAACGGGGTAAGAAAAAAGCCATCTTATTCCTATATTTTTTGAGGATGGAGAGGGAGCGCTTCTACAAATATCACACCAGACATAAAGGTCATTATGCATTCAACACTCTTCTTCTCCGTCTGTGTCTGTCTCACTGATACTGAATTTTTTGTTAGGAGAACCTTGATATTTATTTTTACCCTCCAATATTCAATTATTCCTCTCTGTGTTAAAGCTGGCATTTACCTATGTTATCTCAAACACACTGTTTCATGCTGCATGCGTTTGACATTCATTTCTGACTATTTCTTCTGCGTGCAGAGAGCTCCTGCTCATCAGATAGGCGATACCACTTTACCAAGGAGTGACCCCAACCTCTCAGCACCAGACAAAGGTAAAACTCTACATTAAGCATATTCTTTTACACCCTTCACTTCCATGCACTCATGTATAATACACTCTCACCGCAGGGAGCCCCCTCCAGGAGAATAATAATATATTGTATGTAGACACTTTTTATTAAACCTGTGCTAAGGTAAACATTTAATATTACTTTTATATTGTTTTGTGTGCTCCTCATTGTTATTTAAAAGAACATTTATTCTCATTTTCCCAGCATGTGTCCATTAGTCATAATTCCTGTAGAATCTCTTAACAAAAGCTCTCTTCAGTGGAGCGGCAGTAATGGGCATCTTCTCCATTACTCACTGATGCTTACACCACTGTCCAGGGTGGTAGTCATCTGTTCAGACATGCAGTGTGCGTGTGACAGTTTGACCACTGAGTGACTGGGGGCATCTGTTTTCACACAGCTGCTTCAGGGAGCTCCTCAGGACACAAACACACACACACACACAAACACACACACACACACAAACACACAAACACACACACACAGACACACAGACACACACACACACACACACACACACACACACACACACACACACACACACACACACACACACACAGTCTGAAACACACATACGCGCACATACCGGGCTCCATTTTCCTCCCGACTCCTAACCAGACTCACCGACTAGATTACAGCTTTTCATCTTCCCTCATCCCGAAAGAGTAATGAAATGGCAGGTACTATTCCTGCGACGGTGATGGACGTGTGTGACATTCATATGTATGAATGCATATCTATTAGTTAAGCCCCTCTGGTTGTCATTCTGCTCAGCATAGTCTAGGGGAGATGCATATTTCTTGCATTTTCTGCGAAAAATATGCCAGCGAATTGAGACTGAAATCTGACCTCACCATGCGTAATTAAAAAAAAACCTGAAGAGTTAGATTGCTTTTTCTCCGAACTTCTGCAGAACTCTGAGTATAAAACCTGAAAGTTATTTCCCTTCGACCGCCAGAAAAACAAAGGAAGAACATTTCGTGAAGTAATTAGGGGGATGCGGAAGAGACACATTTAAAATTAAAGAGTGAGGTTTGTGGATGCGATAGCTTCCTTGTGACTCACACTCAAACACACACCTATCCATGTGAACCAAGTGTGATCTGTACATAATGCAGCGTGAGATAGATGAACTTCCACAATATGGTGACATGACACCTTTTTTTTGCATCTGACAGTGACGAAAGGTGCCAAGATTTACACAAAACCTGCGATTGCGTAAAAGTGTTGTTTGTCACATCTTCTGCCTTCTCTTAAATTAGAACTCCAGATGCCAAATTTAGTGTTGTTTGAATATGACTCTAGTTTTGCGATGAAATTAAAACGTAGCATGTGAAGTAGCGGCGTCCAGACAGAGGCAACTTTATAAACTGTGACCAGACCAATCCCCCTGACTGTGATTTCAATTACAGTGTCTGATTACATTTTATTTTTACAGTAATGTCTGCACTTGAAGTAGCTACTTAAGAGCTTAAAGTCTGATTGAATGTGACCTATAAACCTGAAGGCTAAACAAGGACAGTCTGAGGTTTTATACCAAAAGTAGTGTCGGTTAAGTGTGTTTTATAGTTTATTCCTGTTGCAATGGAATATGGAATCTATATTTAGAAAAATCTGTTGCCTGTTTTCACTCTAAATGTGTCGTTGCACAGAACTGCCGTTACTTTTCTCTTTTCTATATCCTCTCTCTATTTGTGGACATTTTCACAACAAAAACAAAACTAAATAAAAACAAAACAAAAACACATTTAAAATGATTGTCTGCGACTAAAAACGAAACAATGTGAAATGTGGACAAATGGAAATATGAAGTTGTTATTGTTTAATGCATCTGACATTGTATGCTCCTATTATTGGTAAAAGAGTATCCTCCACCACCCACAAATATCACTTCTTCAGAGCTTTCTACAGCTTGACCTTAATTTTATGTCTCTGCAATGCTGGCTAATGCTACTGTTTCTCAGAAGGAGTAAATGCAGGAGAGACAGGATGAGAAGTAAGACAAAAAGTACTAACAAAAAAGCAGTGACACACAACAAAACTGAGACATGCCTCAGAATGTCAGTAGGATAGAATTCAAAATGCATCAGAAACTTAGACTAGAGTAGGTCATGCTTAAAGCTCCTGAAAACCTGGCTTGAAGTGTCAGAGCATTGCTCTATGTATAACATTAGATAGTATATTATGTCATTAAATAAGCAGCAATCAAAGTAAACATCTTTAGGTTAAATTTACAGTAGCCCACCTGGCAGAGCAAGAGTCCTTACCGCAGAGGCCCGGGTTTGATTCCAACCTGCGGCCCTTTGCTGCATTACATACCTCCTCTCATTCCCCCCCCCTTTCTTGTCCATCTTAACCTGTCTTATCAAAATAAAAGCGAAAAATATCCTTAAAAGACAACTTAAAAACTAAAAAGCAACAAAAAACAAAGGATCAGATTCTGCTTCAAATACTGCTTAATCTTGATTGGTGCACACAAGTACATGACATCACCCTTTTCCAACTCAGTCCTCAGAAAAAGGTGAATACAGAAGTCAGTCATGTGAAATAACCAGAAGTGGCAGAGGATTGTGTGTCTAGGGTTGCATCCATCACTCATCGTTAGATTCTGATTTGAGAAAAAAAAAAGGTTTTTAGGGTCTTGCACTTCATCCTGTGCTCTATCTTGGGCAGTGTATGCTCTATTGTATGTTTGGTGTGAAACCAGTATTACTCTCTGCAGGCCAGAATGTGATGACTATCAAGTGATGATTTTTAATGTTTCCAGTTATCGTACCATCCATCTGAACCGAGCATAATTCCACTGTTTTCTTCATGTTGTCTTCCCATAACCTGTTGAGTGACTTGTGATGTTTCTGTGTACTGTAAGTGAGACCCACACCCAGTAGCTGGAGCCTTGACAGTGTCAAAGTGGGCGCTCCATCCTTCTCTGACTCTGTTGGCAAATTGCTATGCCCTCCCGTACCTCCTAGGCCACCGTACTCAGGTAAACTGCCGAACACGGAATTCCCTCGATGAAGAATGGTACTAATTTTCCACTCCGACTTTTGACACCTGGCGCTTTCTCCACTTCCTCCTACTGTGACATTTCCCCATCTGAGGCTATCGGCTGACTGTTTCCTGGCTTGCTGCTGCCTAATATCACCCACATACACGATGACAGCGGCGTTTTTCTTTACTAACTGGCTTGGAATGTTAATATTTTCTGGTATGAGATGTGTTAGTTCAGCTGAGAACAAGTGTGACAATCTCTGTAGGCTTTGAGAGGGCTGAAGTCAATCCCAATTGAAATTCCAGTCAATTCCCGGATTCACCCCCACCACCACCTTCCCTCCCTTTTAGGCCTCCTGAGAAATGCATGCCATTACATTTCAACAACAGTTTTCTTCACCATCAACTCAAACTGTGTTTTCCTTATTTACTTATTTACAGATGCAACAGACTTGACTGATTCCCCAGTGCTTTATGATATATCGTACTGCCCAGCAGCGTAATAAGCAGATGGAGTGTGTGTTTTTTCCCCCCTCACTTTTTCTGCCCTCATTGCATAAAGCAGTAACAGCTGTTGGATGTAGAAACAGCTTAAGGCAGCCTAAAGGACCTGCAGAACATCAGCGCTTATTTGACTCATTGATGCTTTAAGCCACTGGCCCTCTCAGTTCCATGTGTGTATGTTTGCATGACTCATGCTGTGTCATCATGGCGAATTGAAGATAACAGTCCTCTAATTTGAATTTTTCTCTTTTCTTCTCTCTCTCTCTCTCTCCCTCTCCCCCTCCCTTCCTCTGGTTGTCAGCAGGCTCCTCGGCTAAAAGCATGAGGTCGCAGTCCCCTGTCTCCATGTCAAGATCGCCACAAAAGGTTGGTTCTGTTTCTGTCACTCAACTTCTCCTGAGTTTTTTTTTTTAAGTTTCTCTTTCTTTTCCTGAGACAGCCCGACCTTGCTTAGCGGCAGCCTCAGGGCCTTTATCCTGCACTGCTAACGTCTTACCGGCCAGCTCCAGGGTCTTTATCCTGCTCTGTGTCAACCCAAGGCCTGGGAGCTTTGCATTACTGCTCACTGAAGCCGCTAACTGCTCCAGCGCTGCTGATTTTGTAGTTTTTTTATGACACGGCTGTCCCAACGAGGACCCAAAATGGGACTGGCTGGAGGGCATTCATCGTATTAGCTAAATGTACACCTGCTAGAGGCCAACTGGTGTCCGCTGTTAATTCAAGCTTTGAGAGGACCTCACCTGGACTGCTTGCCAAAAATATGCAAAACCAGATGGATTTATTCAACTTCACTTCATGTCAGTTAATCTATTTTTCAAAGACCGAACCTATTTGTCATGATGTTTTTCTTGCTATTAAACCTGAACAAAATGTTCCCGAGATGTGTTAAAGCACATTTTTTATTTCGCTGACCTCAAGTGTTTTTATGTTTATCTACAGTTAAACTGATTACTCTCGCTTTGTCTCCAGGCTTTTGTTTATTGTTAATGAGCCTCTTAGCAGTTAATACCAGTCTGCAGAAGCAGGAGAGGTCCAGGAAAGGTTAGTTAAGCGCCGAGTGAGCTCTTAATGAGGGTAAAAAGTTGTTTTGAAACTCAGGTGAACTGAAGCTTGTCTCCTGCTAACTGTTATCTTCTTTGTGGGCTTGTCACAAGCAGCAACAGTGCTAAGCTCCCAGCTTTGTTGCGGGTGTGATGTCTTCTTACATGTGACAACTACCAAGAATGCGGTTGTTTTGTTTGTTTGTGTGTGTGTGTGTGTGTGTGTGTGTGTGTGTGTGTGTGTGTGGCGGTGAGAGAGCGAGCGAGAGAGAGAGAGAGAGAACAACTCTGGAAACCAAAGTGTGAGTGACAGCTTGGCGCTCAGCATGCCCTGTCAATCAGATTTGCGTGTGTGGTTAGGTGTGTGCACGCCGCACCGCTTCTATGCATGTGTGTGTATGTGTGTTGGTGACAGTGTGCTGTGGCAATAGACGAGGCCTGGAGCGAAGTACCAAGCTGCCCATCACAGCACAGCCAGAGACGGCTCCTCCGCGGACCTCCAGCAGGCCCCATTATCTGGCACATGAACGCACACACGCCGAACACACACACATCAGATAGTGCAGCCAGGGGCCCATTAACCAGACCACAAACCCCAGGACAGTAGTGAACCTGCAGAAAACACATGGTGCCAGTCTGACAGGGCTGCGCTTATTCATCTCCAGAGGTAGAAATGATATTTAGTGGTAGCCTCTTTCTGGAAAACTGTGTCAGGGAGTTTAAACTGCTTGTCAGCACTGTATTAAATATACTGACTTTCATCATGTTGGCTCCAGATGTGAAAAGGTTTGTCCAGTCGTGCATGTCAAATGGATACCTCTCTTTCTGTGTGCCCCCTGTAGCATGAACGATACAACCTTACTGATCAATTGTATACTCCACTAGATCCAATTAAATTTTAGCAGATATAATGGCGGTGTGGTGTAATTGCTTAGAAAAACATTTCGTTGAGTGATCGGATTTTTGAGGGGGGGGAGTGCGACATATTGTGTTTTTTCGTCTCGGTGCACAGGGCCGGTTGATAGACTGGAAAAACCTGGTCCTCTCAATCTGTTCACTGACTCTTTTTTTTTTTTAAGTATTTATCGCTGCTGTATGGCTGTGTCAGCACACGTGTTGGAGACAGCAGAGTAGAGGATGCTTACAATACAGTTGCATGCGTACCTGGCTCCCTTTGTTTTAAACGCAAAATTTGCTAAAATAATACCATGTATTTCTAAAGTAATGGTAACTATAGGACACAGTATATCAGTGGTTCCCAACCTTTTCCAATCTTTTTCCTGACTTTAATGTTTGCCTTTTTCTCAAGAAACCTTTGAAAATGTCACTTCAGGTCTATAAAAATCCTTTTTATATGAAACAAAACTAAAAGGAACCTTTTAGAAACCGCTATAGGGGTGCAACTAACAATGATTTTCCTTATTGGATAATCTACAAATTATTTTCTCCATCAATTGTTTGGTCTAAAAGTTTTGTCTAAAGACAGAAAAGGGTGGAAAATTCCTAGAGCCCAAGGTGACATATTTGAATTGCTGCCTTTGTCTGACCAACAGTCTACAACCCAAAGATATTTACTTTACTATAGAGCTGAAACAATTACTCGATTAATTGATTAGTCGATCAACAGAAAATTAATCTGCAATTATTATAATAATTGTTTAATCATTACAGTTGTCAGGCAAAAAGTATACAGCTTCAGAAATGGAGCATTTGCAGCCTCTCAAAATATCTTTTTATTTTGGATTGTTGGTGGGACGAAACACAATGTCACCTTGGGCTCTCAGACTGTGTGATTTCCATTTTTCACTATTTGACAGACTAAAAGATTCATCAATTCATCAAAAAGTCATTACAGACTAATCAATAATTTAAATAATTATTAGTAGCAGCCCTAGTTTACTGTTACTATAAGACAACGGCAAATTGTTACAATTTAGAAGCTGGAAACAGAAACAGCAGTCTTTACAGCCTCTTGTGGTTTTAAGTCTGTTCCATCTGACAGCATTCAGCATCACTGATTACAGTATGCGTGGTTGGGTGTGGTCAGGAGTGTACTCCGTTACCGCCACCATATTAAATATAAACAAGACGACAGAAAAGTAAGGTATTTGATTTCTTGTCATTATTTCTCTCTCTCTAGACCACAGTGCCACCTTTCACCCCTTCGCCCACCGAGTGCCAGTCCACCAGCCTGGTCTCCAACTCCCCTGTCCTCTCCGGCAGCTACAGCAGTGGCATCTCCTCCCTCAGCCGCTGCAGCGTGTCAGAAGCTTCGGGCACCGAGCTGCCCGCAGGCGACCACCCGTCCCACCCGCTGCCTCCTCCCACCACCTTGCCAAACTCGGTCTCCAGCAGCTCGGACGAGCCGATCCGCAGAGAGAACAAGACCCCGCCTCCCTACAGCGTGTACGAGAGGAACAACCCCCGCAGGCCTGTGCCGCTGCCCCACAGTCTCTCCATCCCCCCACAGACGGACCCCCCGGCCCTGCCACCCAAGCCTCACCAGCTCCGCACAGGCAGCATGAAGCTGGACGGAACCTCCGACCCTCGAGTCCCCAGACCAAGGCCCCTGCCCAGGAAGGTGTCCCAGCTATAGGTGCTGGTCCAGGTCTGGAGCTTGAAGAAACACACTGGCGTATTTTGCACTTTTCTACTGGGCACTCACTTGTTTTTTGTGATCTTCAGTTTGGCATTCCTGACCTACACTCCAATAAAAGACACAGGCCTATAGATTAACAGGCAGTCAAAAAAACTGAAGAAACTGACAAATAATGAAAGTTTCTTTTTGTATTTGCTAGAGGGCATTGCATTGACTTTGACTTGGTCATTCCGCACTTTTAGCTCTAGTACGTACAATAGGTCACCACGGTCAGCCGCAACATATGTTTACCAGAACAGTCTAGAAAAACACAGTTTTGATAGATGTAATAATCTGAAATATATGTATATTGGTATATATGAGAATTGTTTTTGCCTTAAGTATTGGAAACAGAGTCTTTTATCCGTGAGTCTTGCACGTTTTTCTTTTTCTTTTTTAAACAACTCTGTACATTTGTATACTGTATGGCTAAAAAGGTGCTAGAGGCCTTGAGTATGCATTTCGATGAAGTGTAGTAGACGAGGCTGTGTTCCCATAGTCATATCCACACAAGCAATGGCACAAAAAACTGAACTTAACAAAACTATATTATGACTAAATAATAAAATTTTAACACATTTTTATGCAGCGATAAACTGTTTAAGTAAAGGTAACTTCGGCACGGTAACGAAGCAGTTTTGAGCCTTATTTAACTCCGTGTGGTTATCTGTAAGTCAGAAAACTAGAGAGATCTTCAGTGGGGAGTTGCCACCTTAACAAACCACTCTACTGCCCTTCTCTCTCTAGAGTTTTAAAATCAGCCTCTTACCTTTCACACCAAAATTTCCCCCCCATTAATAATGAAATCACGAGCCTGGACCAAACACACAAGCAAACGTTGGTGCAATTGCATGCTTAGAAGCTGGACGTTGCCATTTCTGTGAACATTTCTGTGAACACACCCTATCCCTCCTGCATGATGTACATGACAACAGATCTTTAGGGGAGGGGGTAGGGGAGGGGAGGGGTTACCAAGTATTGTGCCAAAGGAAAATGTACAATGTGCTGTAAAGAAACTTTTTTTTTTTTTTTTTTATAACTGGGACCTGGAATCAAGAAGCTTGGAAATGCTCAGCTCAAAAATAGTTTTTAAAGTGATTTTACCCCCAAAAAATCCTAATTAAACTGATTGAAGAGATATAACTTAAGACAAGCACAAACAAGACTTTATCATCTGTATAATGACCAGTACTGTTATGGACTCTCTATTTAACAAAGCAGTAATTGGAACAGAGTTTCACTGTCAGCAGTCACCCTAAAACACACAAGGACTGACACTCTATTGAAGAAATATTTACAAACTAATCATTGTCAAATATTTGTACAGTTGAGATTTACTTTGTGTTTGATTAAAAAGATGGACGTGAGTTGACTGCGCTATAAACAGTTGCTCAGTTCAACCACAATGTGTTGCTGCAGTGAAGTAAGTGTTCTGTGGCAGGCAGATTTCACATTGTTTTGTAAAATAGAGAAAATTTTGGCATAAAATCTTAAATCCGTGCAACATTTTTTTTGGGGGGCAGGGGGGATTAGCTTTAGTATTGTTTGTATGTTTCATTTTTGTATGGTTAATTTACTTTTTGATTTGTTGTGAATTTTTGAGATTAAATATTCACATTAATCAGTACTTGAGAAACCTGTAAATTATATGATGAGATTAATGTAAGTATGCCAAATATAAAATTTGTGTATTGCAATTAATGTAAATACTGTGTTTTTAACAAAATGTAGCTATAACAATTTACAGCTTTGAATGTAATGTTGAAGCAGCAAATTATTATTATAAATGTTCAAACTTTTATGGTTTTGTGAGTGTAGAAAAACTAAGGTCATGCATAATGACACCTAACACATTTACAAGTTCAATAAACTGCCCTATGTAATACAAATGGATCGACTGACAGATTTCTACGTTATGAGACTTTGGAGATTTGTGACTTGGTCTTTTATGTGGTATTGAGGTTTCACAGAGGAAAAACACCCAATGAGATCCAAGTTGATTGGCCGTCAGCAATGCCTCTATCAAACCTCACCCGCTTCTTAATGTTTCATGGGGGGAAGCCAGTTAGGGATCACGTGGTTTTTGCTGCATTGGTAAAATGCTGCTAGGTGGACACGGCTTCTGTTGTGGGTTGGGATCTAACTAAGATAGTGTAAAAATAATGTAAAAAAAGTCACTGTAAGGGAAAAAACGTTTCAGGAGCCGCTATGTAGTGTACATTTTCCCCACGTTAGCGGGATGCGTATGCAGCCACAGGAAGCACGGAGCACAAAGGGAACCGGAAAATTCTGGTGACTCTGTTTGAGGAGACCCGTGGTTGTAAATGCATCACTCAGGTAATTGCGTTCAGTTCCATGAAGATGTTTGTTTATGGGCGTAGTGTTTCCCCCCCTTAAAGACGGGAATCCCAAATGAAAGATGGCTGCCAAAAACAGTGGAAGTTACATCCAATGTTACGTAAAGCTCGGGAAGTGATTCCTCTGTTTTTCATACTAACAATTGAATTTGCAGTGTATCTTATATTATTGAAATAAACCTTATTAAAGCAACAACATTATATCTTTGCAATATGAAAGAAGTGATAAAGAGCTAAATCGTATAGTACTGACAGATTTATTTTTTGTTTAGAGAATAAGATTCTGTGTATTATATTCACAAAAGCTGAAAGGTTTACTGTTACACTTAAAATGTATTCATTATTTAATTAATTAAAAACATTGAGTCCTCCTTGTTATAATTGTGTACCCAAAAGTCAAAGCAGAAATGTCACAATATCCCCCACTAAAGGGTTTATTGATAGCCAGACTGTTTGACTAGGTTAGCCCGCGGCGGAGGGGCGTGGCTTCAGCGCCTCCAGCGGACACGCCCCCAACGTCTCCGAGCAACAGTGCCAATTTTTCCGATTTATTTTTGTTAATAATACTTTTTTCTTTGGCGTGAGAAACTCAGAAAATCATATTTATTTTGACTTTACACGGACTTTACAGGTAAGACATCATGCACCTTGGCTTACATCCTACTCGGGAAGGAAGCAGGAAGTGATTTAGGGAAGAAGTTGAAGCTGTTTGATTAGTTAGTTAAATTTTAAATAATTAGTAAACTGCATGTGGAGGTTTTTCAAGCGGAATCACATACAAATTGCGTTTTTCACTCACTACCTTTTTATTGGTTTCTGAATGTTTAAAATCTTGTCTGTGGTGAAGCTCGTAAGCAACTCCTAGCCTGAGCAAAAGCTATATCAAGCTAGCTTTGAGCTATCCACCTCCAACGCAACATAAAGGTAACGTTATGTGTAACTTGTATAATCTTACCCCTTTTTTATATATAGGAATATTCAAGGTTGTGTAAATGTAATCTGATACAATTACTAATAACCTGTAAAAATGTAGTCAGTAACCTCATCCAAGTAGCACCATATTAAAGTAACTTCATTACTTTCCGTTACTTTTAGATTTCCTCAACACCAAATATACAAATAAAAACAGTGGGGCAGTGAAATACAAGTGGAAAGAACAGTACAAGGTTCAAAAGAAAATTTAAATTGTATTCTTCAGTCAACAGTATATCCAAATGTATCTCAAATTAATCTTTTACCAAAAACAAAATCCAAGTCCCAATTTAAAACATGGAGGAAAAAAATGTGTTCTTTTAAAACAGAATTCCCCAAAAAGTCTAAAACATAAAATGTCCGTGGGTTACATTTTTGTAGAAATTGATTGCGACCTGGTGAGTTGTGAGTTTAGTGTCTCTATTTTAAATTTTTTTTTTTTCCTTCAGATGTAATTGGCTCAATTGTTAATCTGTCCATAAATCTCACCTTCCTGGGCATCCGCAGCCATGCAGAGCGTTCAAGCCTGTACACCTCTCCCTGTGGACGCACGTGGCTCAGAGGCTGTAGATGAGTCACTGGTGTGTGTGTGTTAACTGAAGACACATTCACACAAGGGAGCACAAAGCATCTAATTACCCCACCACCGTAGTTGAACTGAAGACTGCTACTACAGTCAACACAACAGTTGTGTGCTGACAGTACTGCATGACTGAGGGACCTTGCACAATTGTAAATGCGTTGGTGTGTGTGTGTGTGTGTAACTTTTGTCTACTCCCTCACTCTCTCACCAATAAACAATACTGTGCGTGCAGTGCGGTGATTGGGAGACGAGCACACTTCACCTGTCAGCACTCATCATAATGGTTGGTGGTTGGCTGTAATTTGACAGCAATTATCATGTCAGGAATGAGTTCCCGGCTAATCGCAGAGTCTCCTTGCAACAGAGGGCGCATACTGCAGCGGCCGGAGAGACATGCCTCCGCCATTCAGCGAGCCTGTGAGGATTGTTGTCGGTTACAAACCTCCACGGGCTTGTCAATCTGCCCATTATTGAGAAAAAAGAGCTGCATTCTGCTTGTAGTAGCAGCGAACAAAAGCCTGTCCTGGTTAAAGGACAGGAGAGAGTTAAGCTGGCAACACATTTCTGCTGATCCCAGACACTGACATTTTGCATTTGCGAGCACAGATAGCTTCCTTACAACAAAAGGAACCATAGCTGGAAGGCACCCAGCTGTAATAACATGTAAATATTATGAACCTGCAGAGCTCCCTGTAATTGTAGACACGTTCAGCACATTTCTAAAAGATGCAGCATTCATTATATCCAGCACAAGGTTTATGCACAACAGTTTAGCCCTATTATAAGAGCACTAAACATCTTTCGTTTATAGCATTCATGGGTGATGATACATAATTATCAGGGGAAAGGCAGCGCTAGGTATTAATTTAAAGTTGCCTGGGGCGAAATTTGGAGAACACACAGCCGCAGAGAAACCCAAGGTGTTTGTCTCGCTCTGCAAATCTCTCCAGGGAGAGGAGAAGCTGGAGCAGCTCTGCAGGGAGCAAAGAACCTCCATCTCAGAGGCACACTGAAGAGAAGTTTCAAAGAGAAACTCGCAAGAATAGATGGCATGTTTTATCTTCCTGCTCCACTCCTATATCTGCTCTGTTGTGTTCAGCAGCTTATGGGGGATTTTCACCTGACAGCTTCAAATACTCCAGGTTGTTTTTAATGGTACGATGAGTGAAGTTTAATTTTTTGACTTGTGCTGTCCTCAGAGGAGGACTATTGCCTCAGCTGAATGGGAAGTTGACTGCTAGTTTCAAATGCTTTGTATGCTGAAGAGGAGTACAAGACAGAAAGGGATCAGGGAAATGAAGGTGTGTGTTTTTGCTAGCGTACGTGTATTCTTGGAAGAGACACACTGTATATTCCTGCAGATTTGAGCATTGTTTCCGCTGCAGGGTTCAAGCATTGTGCTAACAATATAGAGTAAAATTACTCCACTGTTTAAAACACTCGCCTGTTGTCGCACTTTGTGGCAAATTTAGTTTGACTGCAAAGTAAATAGTTGGGGCAGAAAAATGCTTTTATAGTGGTAAATAAAGAATTACATTTTATTAAATATGGCAGCTTTATAAATCCACAGAGAGAAAACTTCTTTAGTCGCATCGCAACAAATAACATAAGAAACAAAAAGGTCAATAAGTGATGCACCTAAAACAAAACCAATAAAGCAGGCAATACATATGAAATGAAACCTTTTAAAATGAACAGTTGTAACAACACAACCCATATCTCAAAAAACAAGCAAATATCCCATGTCAAAAGATCTAAATTGTTTTGTAGATTGTCAATAACGAGTCACTTAACCCACCTTTTAAACTACTATACACATCAGAGGATATCCTTCAAACTGAGGTTAAACTCTCCTTTCGTTCCTTTCTAATGAATCTAGAAGGCGTTGTAGAAGAAATCTTTTAAATAATGTTTTTAGTTAGTTGGCAGTAATGCTGTGACCTCAAGATGCAACACATAAAACCTGTCCTGATTTAAAAAAAACAAACAAAAAACTCTGATATATATACTATCTGTGACAGCATTTCACCCAAACATAATTAAAATAATTAACTTTCCTTGGCACTGCGCCCATGCCTCATGCCTCTCGAGACTCTTTTATCCAGCACTTAAACCACACTACTGCAGTTCTCTCATTATCATATGCCCCTATCCTTTCCTAGTGAGTCATCCACCGAAGGTCAGCAAATGGTGACCCTGTTTACGGAGCTTTCGTGCCCACCAAGGGGTTCTCGATCGCGGCTTCCACTCCAGCCCCTGTGGTTCAGCGGTCTGCACGGCGGGACCAGAGGGCAGCTGCATCAAGACTTGCATCAGGCCAGCCATGCTAAAAGGTACTCTTTTGCCCTTATCTAACCTCTCGCTGTCACCCGCCCTCATTCTCCGTGGGGTGTATATTAAATTAAATGTTAGGCTCTCTCCATCTCTGCTCTCATGGGTGATCGCCTTAGTTCTGCCTGGCTAGTTCAGCTGTGAAGAGGCCTTTCTTGTTTCCCCTACACACATGAATAAACATAAGGTCAGGTGAGATTTTGAAGCGTTGTCGCTATAAGGTTTTGTTGTTGAGTTAAAAACCAGCTCAAGGGTTGCATTAGGGCAGGAAGGCACAATAAGGGGGAACTGAACCTCAGGCAGACACTATAAAGTAGACTACTTTGGGATGGAGTGGCTAGAGTAAGAGTACAGTTTAATAAGCTTAAAGGGAAATTGCCCTACTGGAGAGTGACATAATTGGGACTATATTGGGAAAGTTCAAAATGAACCAGCCTTCCTCAGGTTCCTCAGGTGACGTTTGACAGAGGAGGTTTCTAACCTATGTTCCTGCTCTGTGCTCTACTGTAATTCAGTTGTAGGATCCAGGTAGGATGCTCATATTAACATAAAACATCACATTCAGAAACAAATCTGCTACGTGTATCCGGCTCCTTTGGCAGCTGGGTGTCTGCGGTTTGATAAAAAGAAATGTAAGGCTGTCAACTCAGCCGTCTAGTTAGTTGGTTAGTTAGTCAGCGATGTGGCTTGATACAAGACAACAAGCTAAGGCTTATTAGATGTGAATTTATAACTGGTGCTAAAGTAGCTTACAGTGGTGCTGATGTCACTATGGGTTATGTCGTATCATATGAAGCTCTGAGTGACTGCCAGATTCAGTATGATTAAGTCAGTCTGTCTTTATGGTGTGGTTTGACACTGTTTTTTCCCACCTCACACTCCTAATTGCAAGCTGTAAATTGTGGACTAGCTGCAACTGCTTTAGCCTTGTACGTACGGCTCCAGCAGGAGTTGGAGCAATAAAGCTGAAAAATGTATCCTGATAAAATCTTAATTTCTTTGATCATTATTGATAATTTGTAATGTTAATTTTTTGTCATATGGTAATGTTGCTCAGTACCTCACCTTCATAGACTGCCTGTGGATTGTTTCATGAGATGTAGGTTGTGACTGGCATGTTGCATACTCCAAAGAGTTTATTTTATTTATTTTATTTTACCTTTATTTACCAGATAAGTCAATTGAAAACCAATTCTCATTTAGAATGATGACCTGGCCAAGAGGCAGCTTATATTTGGATTTATATTCATATTTGGAAACTTTAGATAACATTTTCCACCCCAGACAGAAACAAACTATTGGCAGGAAACACTTTGGGGAATAATGCTGAATGGTGAAATCCATCTGTATTTGAGCCAGAGAACAGTCAAGAGGAGCTGTGGGAGAAGGAGAAGGAAACGAGATGAGCAGCATTCAGGCATACAAGAGAAAGTGCCAGCACCACATGGGAATACAAGATAACCTTAGAAGGCGCATAAAAAGGTACAGATAAAAAAGTTGGTGGAGTGGCATCACAGCCAAGAGGGGTTAGATTTCAGAACACAAATTTTGCAGTGTAAATTTTTTGAACTGTAGATGAACCACCTGTAGATGGATACAAAACACATCTTCTCTGCCAATAGTGGGTTTTTTTTTTTTTTTTGAGGAAGTGTTGGTTATATAAATACAAGTAACATTCAAGATTTGTATACACTTGCATCCAACAATGATGTGTGTAGCATACAGTCAGAGTTTAAACCAGAGCTTGGCATCCGAGCGACCAGCAGCTGGAAAGCTAGCAGCAGCTGCTCGTATCTCCCTGAAATTTACAAAGTGGTTATGACTTCTCTGCAGAGTTCTACAAAAGCAGCTAACTGGCTGGCAAAAGATCAGCTGAAATGCTTTTGTTTTCTGTGCCTTTTCTGCAAACTTTTCATTCTGCTGCTTGTTTTCAGCCCCACTCAAATTGTAAATGGTGTTTCAAATACAAACGCTGTCAGAATTTGGCGCCCGGGTATGTGATGAGGATGGGGGGGGGGCTTGCGGCAGGGGGTAAGCCATGGGAAGGATAATGCACTGCTTGAGCACGCATGGTTTGATTCCTGCAGGAGAATGACTTTACTGGGCTATTACCGCTTCAGCTAGACGGCACTGAATTGTTCTTTTGTTCTGGCAGTGAAGCTCTGAGGGGGTTTCTCACAATGAATTCCTATTGATTTTTCTGGTCATGTCATCAAATTGTATGTGGCTTGAATCGTGACTACTGTTTTCTCATCTGCTCCCTGAGGTTCCTTTCCTCTATTAACTTTTTATCCTATTTGGAGGGGGCAAAACTAAACAAAAGAAAAGGGAGAATGAAAGCCGGGATGAAACTAGAAAATAGAAGTAAACACAATGAGCAGACCTGCCGTGTAAGTCACTTGTTCAATAAAGATCCAGGATATTTGATTAATGTTTATCCTCAGCCACTTTTTTGTTCTCATTGTTGTAAACGTTCGACTACAAATCATGTCTTTATGGAGCTTTGATGTAGCCAGTTAGGAGATGCTCCGCTACCTTACGTACGAGATGCAGGCTGCCTGACTTGATGTTAGAGCCTGTCTGTGTAACTCGAGAGAGGAAACGGCACAATCGTCCTCTTCCAAATGAAAAGCTGAATTCATGTCTAGAAAACTTTAATGGCTTTATTATAAAAGTGAAGGGCAAAGAAAGTTGACTTGTATAGCAGCTTTTAACAAGGTAATACCAGGTTATTTATGTAAGACATAAATGGCAAGACAAAAAAAAAAAAAATTACAAGGCGACATAAGAAGATATGACTATGGTTCAAAAGGAAACCAATTTAACAAAACTTGATGGGGAAAAAAAGCTACAATTACATTTGGAGTGCGGAAATGTTACATAAAGAAATGCAGCGGCATACAAAAAAAGCTACAGACCTCCATTTTAAAAGAGCTGAGAGTTGAAGCAGACGTCAATATTTCTGTATATTTTTTCCAGCAACGTATAAACTGAATGTTGCTTCACTGTGGGGACAGGAAACCGACCTGTCCCAGGTGACCTGAAAGGTCTTCAAAATTCACAACATAGCAGTGAACCAGAAATGGATTCGGCCCTCAACCATTCTGTGCTTCATAAACCAAAAGCAATACTTTAATATCTGTTCTATAACATGCAGGAACATAAAGATCTGACAGCTGGAATGATTTGTTTTGTACTTTCTTGGTTTTAGTTAGACTAGAGGGGTTTTAATGAGCTGGAGCTGTCTGATCAGCTGTTTAAAGTCATGATAAGGCACATTACAGTGGTTGAGCCTAGACATAAGACCTTTTAATTATTGCTATTATTTTAATATGATTCTAGAATAGTCTGGTTTTGTAATTGCTTGACAAAACAAGGAGTACGGGAAAAGCACGGTTCCGATCAGGAGAATGGTTTTGGTTCTCTGTTAGTAGATACCATATTAACATATCTTTAATGCAAATGACTCAACTGAATTTGGGGAAATTAAGGGATATTTAGTGTGCCGTTATCCTGTAATAGCAAAAATGTGCAGTTTGCAATATGACGTAATGTGGTTGGTGTGTGTCTTACTTTACAGAACAGTACATTCTGACTTTAAAGGTCCATACCTTCTGTAGTCTGTCTTAAATGTTATATTGGAACTCTATCACTATCAGCATCCGTATATACTGTATGCTTTGGTGGTGCTGGATATACTATGTATGATATGCACGCCAGACACCTTCTCTCTCGCTCTCTGTCTCAGTGTGATACTGCAGCCATCTGTTAATGTGCTGCAGTCTTAATTATGCTCTCACCACACTAAGTCAATCAGAGACACGCCTCAGCCAACTGTAACACACCTAGCGGGGGCCTTACCGATCAATAAACTCCTCCCAGGGCTACCATAATTTTCACCAGCTCGGGCCCTCTCAGTCGCTTAGTCTCAGCACAGTCGGGTTTGGAATTGTGCCTTGTTTTGGTAGAGCTGTTTGTACACATTGTATCTGAAGGTTAAATATGTGGACAATTGTGTCTGTGTTCCTTCATGTTAATATCTTATTTTCATGCATTTCATCTCTGTAGAGCTGTCTCATGGTCAGCGATCCAGCACTGACCGCTCCACTGTGACATGTTGCTTTGATGCAGATGGAATGGTGGGTGTATCTTAGTAAAATGCTGTCACAAGCTTGTTTTTCTCAAGTGTTTCTTGAGGTTTCTGAAAGTGTTTTTTTTATTTTTATGGAGAGCTTGGCAAAGTGATATATTACATCAGCTGGCCGCCTTGTATGATTTTGCACATCTGCGTGTGACACTTTCATGGCCTCCAGATTGTAAGAACAACAAACAAACAGTAGCGTTAAACATCATTGGCAGGAAACAAAGTGTTGTTGCAGTCGAGCAGTGGTAGCAGGGAAGCCAGTGGTAACCAACAAAAAAGAGTATTTAAAAATAATGAGCTGCGTGGGTTGTCAGAGTGCCAGCAAAATAAGCTACTTATATCATGAACCTCAACACAGATTAACATAAGGTTATCTCAGAAAGGTGATATTTTAGTTCAACATTAAGATCCCTCAGCCTACGGACACAACACATTACACTTCCCTGAACAGTAATCTGAAGGCAAACATTGGTTCCTATAGCATCTTTCCAATTGGCTCATTTACAGTTTTTGTTTAAAGTGTCTTATTTAATTATTTCCATTATTTTCTGCCAAAGTGCTATTTGTTTTATAGAGCATTACTTTTCTGTGTTAAGCAGCAGGAGATACATTCTGTAACACAGCAGGACTGCAGGAGAAACGTGTGTCTCACCATTCGTAACTTATAGCCTTCATAGCAAACTCTCCATTGTTTGGATAGCATCCATCCGTGGAGTTAAAAAGAGCTTTTCAGAAAAAGGAAAACATCACACCCAACACAGTACTGCACCATGCCACCTGGAGTTTCTGTTACCACATCCGTGTAAACATACAAGGTTATTATTGGCCAACCGCGTCAACAAAATCATTTGTTAAAGC